TTTGATTCAGGTAAAAATACCGATCGATTTCAATGGATTTTTTATTTTTTAAGAAGCAGCACTCAACAAAACTCGAGGATCAACAGTCCTTTTCACTGTCTTCCTGAATGAAAATGCCCGGGTCCTATACAGTGTACCTCCGGTAATCCGACAAACATTATGCAGGGCAGTGTCGGACTATCGAATTTGTCGGATTATAGAGCACTGCCTAAGACCCCCTATAGTCCGGAATTTTTTACAAAAGAGTACCTTGTAATCCGACAAATTACATATCCAATGCTAAGATTATATATGTTATTTATATGTATGTACTTTGAAGTACAAATCATACACAGTTTATGTATGTCGAATTTAGTAAATTAAACAACAATAGAGAGCTTACGTTTTATTATAAAATTAAGCATAAATGCACGTACATATGTACCAAAATAATCAAGAATTATTAATCAAAATCATTAATAAATTTATCAAATTATGAAGCTTGGAAATGTTCAGCAATTTTTTTTTTGTTTAAGGTTGTTATAACGCGAGATCATAGCTTGGTCCCTCAGTCTTCTCAAAAGTAAAATTTCGTTGTAGGATGTACCATTCTCTTCAGCCCATTGTAAACCTAGCTCAAAGGCGTTAATTGCGTCTTGTGCTGTGACTTGTGGATCAGTTGCAATCACGTCGTCGTTATTTTCCTGATTGTTTGTTGTATAATTAGAAACCTCTTTTATAATCTCTTCGTCAGACATTTCATGAAAAACATTTTCCTCTTTATCCATTCCACGGCACCAGATTTCCAAATCTTCCGGACTTATCTGCGTTTCAGTAGCGACTTGTTCTATAACTTCCGAAGTTACACTGATTTGTGGAACGTTGCTAGGAGTGGTGACTATATCTGGCCATAACTTTTTCAAAGACGATTTAATAGTTGATGACGGTAATGCATTCCACGACTGACAAAGAACAAGAACCAAGTCTTTCATATTAAATTCTTTTAAAGTTTTTTCTATTGGTTGGTCTTTTGATACGGCTCTCAGAAGTAGGTTTTTCTTAAGTCTTGCTTGACAAACTGAATGATATTCTGGTCGATTGGTTGAATCAGTGCAGTGCAATTTGGCGGAAGAAACATCGCAGTGATGCATTTATCCTCAGTTGTTAGTTCTTCATCAGACGGATGACTGGGAGCGTTATCAAGAAGCAACAACGCTTTTTGAGGAAAATTAGGATATTTTAACCATTTTGTAACTTCAGGTACGAAGCATTCATCAAACCACTTTTTGAAAAGGTCTTTTGTCATCCATGCACTTCTTTGTCCGTAATAGTGTACAGGTAAATCAATGTGTTTGAATGCCCGTGGTTTATTAGATTTCCCAATGACCATCATCTTAAGCGCGCGTGTGCCCGCAGCGTTAGCACATGGCAGTATGGTTACACGCTCTTTTCTTACTTTTCGTCCAGGTACGGATTTTTCGTTACAAGAAACGAAAGTCTTGTTAGGCATCACACGCCAAAAAAACCCTGATTCGTCTGCATTGTACACCTGTGACGGGTCAAGATTTGAATCGTTCACCTTCTGCAAAAATCTTAATTTAAAGGGCTCTATGCAGGTGGCATCGCTAGAAAGTTTCTCTCCTGTAATAGTCATTAAACGTTTGCCATGACGATTTTTAAAACGTTCTAGCCATCCTTTGCTGGCCACAATCATCTTTTTTTGTTAGTTCCTTATAAAAAAACTTAGCTTCCATGGCCAACATGGGTCCTGAAATTGGTGCATGCCTATTTCTTTCCTGAAGAAACCACATGTACAAAGCTTCTTCCACTTCTGGATGTTCAGCTTTCTTGAGTGTCTGTCTCTTGCCTGGCCCGCAGTCAGTAGTTGACACGAATTTCTTGATGACATACAAGGTACTATACTCTGGGCGCTGAAGAAAGACATTAAACGTAAACAGTGATCAGCACGTGAACAGATCCCTCGAAAGCATCCACGGATATACTCCAGTCACTTTAGGTCTAAACATCCTCGGCAGTGTATTTCTAGTGAATCCACAGACCCTTTTTCGTGTCATCTTGAGACTAGAAAAAGGATGACTGTTAAAATAAGTTACCTTGATCTTTCATGAGCTCCCAATACAAAACATCATCGATATATTTTTGATGTAGGAACAACAAATTGGTTTAGAAAACATCCACTTTGAACCTAAATTGACTGGAGTAACATCGATCTACAGACAAATTCAAGGTCACTAGCAGTCGTCGGCGCTCTACGAATCTGCACAGGTTTGGACTTGTAAACGTGATTGTAGATGACACGACAGGCATCTAACAGTTAATTCACGCACAGGATTGCATTGCATACGCATTACGCATTCAGTAGCGTATACTCGTTTTTCGCGAGTGGAACGTTTTGTTTATATATTGCCTAAGATACGATGTCTGACACAGATACAGCCGACGAAGTGGTTGACATCAGCGCAACCCCACCGAAAAAAAGGGCTAAGAAGCTACATTTAAGTGCAAATGAAAAACAAATAATATTAAATATATACAAAAACCAAATTCAAGAAAAACCCGATTTGGTCGTGGACGAAGTTATATGTAAGGTAGCACATATTTCTGGAGTGTGTCGGTCCAGTGTTTATAGGATCATTAAGGAATATAGGAGCACTCACTCACTTTCTGAGCCAAAACCGTATCCTGCAAGAAAAAGGATAACGGACGGAGTAGATGACTTTGACAGAACTGCCATCAGGAGGAAAGTGCATAACTTTTTCTTCCGAAATGAGATACCTACAGTAGATAAGATATTAAGATTAGTTAATGCTGATGAGGACCTTCCATCATTTAAAAGAACCACATTCCAAAAACTTTTGAAGGAACTTAATTTTCGATTCTTGAAACGGGGAAGAAACAGTATGTTAATAGAGAAAGAAGAAATTGTTGTGTGGAGAAGGGAATACCTTAGGAAGATTCGGAAGTTTCGCGATGAAAAAAGAAAAATTTACTATTTGGACGAAACGTGGGTGAATGCTGGACATACTCAAGCGAAAGTTTGGGTCGACAAATCAGTAACATCATCAAGGCAGGCTTTTCTAGACGGTCTTTCGGCTGGATTGAAAAATCCTGCAGGTAAGCTCCTTCATCTATCCGGCAATTTAATTTTGATAAATTCGGGCAAATAATATGCTGTAATAGCAGATAATGTGTGATATTCTCCAAAAATGGTGCATTCGCAGTGTAGTCATTAGGAAAAAAACTTCGACCCTCTTTTGAGCGTTATTTTGAAATTTATTATCATTTTTGGGTGCAGTCAATTTGCTTTGAATGGGTTTTGAGAAGTTGCAAACTTCAATTTTTTACGTTTTTCAGTTTTTGATCAGCATTCCGTGACTTTTAAATTCAGCTAAATGAACTCAATTGCCTCATTCCTTCAAATTTAATCAATCCATAGTGTAAGGAATAATTTATTTCCAGGAAAAGGCAAACGGCTGATCATTTGTCACGTAGGTAGTGAAGACGGCTTTGTTCCCGAAGCACTGTGGGCCTTTGAATCAAAAAAGACAGGGGACTATCATGAGGAGATGGACGGCAATTCCTTTGAAAATTGGTTCTCCAAAATGTTACTAAAGCTGGAGAATAACGCTGTTATTGTACTGGATAATGCCCCGTACCATTCTAGAAAAATAGAAAAAATTCCCACAATGGCAACTAAAAAAGCAAACATACAACAATGGCTGGCCTCAAAACAGATCGATTTTGATGAAACAATGGTCAAGGGTGAATTGATAAGTATAGTCAATAGACATAAATACAAATACGATTTTAAAATGATCGACGAAATGGCCAAAAAACAAAATAAAACTGTCTTGAGACTGCCACCCTACCATTGTGAGCTGAACCCTATTGAGCTGATTTGGGCCAACATAAAGCAATACGTGGCGTCGAATAATAATACTTATAAATTTTCTGATGTTAAAAATCTCTTTCACATCGCAGTCAATAGAGTTACGGCACAGGAATGGAAAAACTGTATCCGCCACGTTCGGGAGAAGGTTGAGGTCAAAATGAGGGATTTGGACAATGTCATCGATACCCAAATTGAACCTCTAATAATTCATTTAAACGATTCAGAAGATTCAAGTTCATCTTCTGAATGAGTGCGCGCAGCTTACTTACTAATAACTAAAAAGTGTAGTTAACTCATTTGTGAATCTCTAACTGAAATTTACTGTAAAAGATAATAATTATCTTGTATGAAATTTTTGATGACTACCCATAATATCTTGATGCGGTCCTGTAATGTCTCCTGCGCCTAAACACTCACTCACGAGCAATATGCGTGTATTTGTTTGGGTTTAGTTTCTTTCTTCAGCGCCTAGAGAATATACTTAATACACAATGAATAAATATTAAACAATGAACGCACGCTAGGCCGTACCGCTATCACCTGTAGTCGAATTCAAACTAAGTAAAACAATGCTTACGCGTCGAACACGATAGCGGTGGCGGTACAAGTTGTAACCTGTTCAAACCTGCGTGATCTACAATAGCGAAGATTGTCAAATACGTATGTATGTAATACATATTCAAAGACATGTCGGATTAGACAGGGGCCGGATTATCGGGGGTCCACTGTATTTCAGTTATTCGATTTTTTTCGTAAGTGAGATATTTGTCTACCACCACCAGTGAAAAGGAAAACAATTTTTTATACAGGGTGTTCCGTACTTCCTAGAGGCGGGAGTGAAGAATTCCACGTCTAGAAAAATAGCTTAAAGATCAGAGCTTCCAATGATAAATTCGGTTTCTCAAATAAAAAAATTCCTTGTGTAAAAATGTGGGAACCTTATTTTGAGTCGAACTTCGAGCAAGCCTCTGCCAACGACTAAGCAACCGTACATATGAATAATTGTATAAGATAATAGGTTACAAAATTTTTATTTAGGGAACAATTTGTCGTAAGGTATAAAACTGGAATATTTGAATATATATTCGTCCAGAAACGAAAGCATCACCTTATTGATGGTGGGTAGAAGTTCCTGAACAATGAGACCCATATTTTGATCCAACACGTAATTTGCCACCTTAGCTGAAACAAAAAAAAACGCGTCAAGTAGGTTGACTCCGCACTTTCCACGAAAACAGTCAGTCAAACAGAACCGTACAATTAGTCCAAAGTCCACTCACATATGACAATGTTGCGATCTAGAAATGGCCCTAAGGATCGATCATGTGACGATGTTGCTATGAGTAACCTCGCCGCTCGACAGCAGTCACCACCGAGTACTTTAACCTCTTGGAAGATCAAAGGCTTTTTCGCTAGTACCCCTACTGGTATACTTTATCTGAAGTCACTTGAAACACTGTGAAATACCGGGTGCGTTTTATATATCTATATTTAACACGTTCTGTTGCTGCAAAAATCGCCAAATTTCGCAGCAAATATCCCCCGTATAAGAGATCAAAGGCAGTTTCACCGGTCCACGTGGAGTAAAGCACGCCTATGCGTGGACATAGCCAATGAGAAAGCGTGTATTTCAGAACTCGGAACAAGTGCAGGTGGCTACTGAAAATTGAAACAGTTTAGCCAGTGCCGTGTAGTGTTCATTTTCTTTAGTCTGTCCGTGTTTTTTCATAGATTTTATTAGTTTGTGTGTTTTTGACTTTTGAATACTCAGTTTACTTGTTGATTTAATTGTTGTGTTGATTGTTCTTGTGTGTCCTAAATATGGCTCTTTGGAGACCTTGGGAAAATGCTCCAAGCCACGAGGAGATGGTTGATGAACCTGTGCAGGCAGAATTCTTTCATAAAGATTTAGAGAAACAGACCCAAAGAGTAATCCTAAATATGTATGATTGTCTGAAAAACGAAAATCCAGATTCCTCGCAAAATCAAATTTTAAACAGAATTTGTATCCTGACAAAAATCAGTCGGTCTACCATTTATCGGGTTATAAAAAGGGGAGATGTAGTCAACCATTCCTTCCACAGAAAGCGCATAGGGCAAAAATTAAAAAGAATAGACGTGGGTTTTCAGGAAGATATTCGTCGTATAATATACGGATTTTATAAAGAAAATTTGGTGCCCACGTTGGAAATGATACGGGATAAATTAAAAGATTATCCTGAAGATTTTTATAATTACAAATGCTTAGACTCACTGCACTGTATTGTAAAACTGTGTGGTTTTCAATACAAAAAATTAGATAAAAGAATGGTGATTATGGAGTCGTCTCGAATCGTTGAATTGCGCCAAGAACTTTTGCACAAAGTTAAAATCTATAGAGAGCAGAAAAGAAATCTGATTTACCTGGATGAAACGTGGTATGATACCCATGATGTTGTGCAGTACGGCTGGGTTGACGACAGCAACAAGTGCATTTTAAATGCACCATGCAACCGTGGAAAACGAATCATTATTCTCCATGCTGGCAGTGATAATGGATTTATACCTAATGCCTTGCTGTTATCTGCCAAAAATATCAAAGAATCATGTGCCGACTATCATGAGGACATGACCTCCGACTTATTTGAAAAGTGGATAGAGCAGCAGTTAATACCAAACATTCCCCCAAATTCAGTGATTATTAGGGACAATGCGCCATACCATTCCCGACAGAAAAACAAAATTCCGAATACAGGCACAAAAAAACAAGACATTATTGATTTTATGAAGGATAAGGGAATGGAAATACCACAAAAATCAACCAAAGCCATATTATTGGATCTTATTAAAAGACAAAAATTTGAAAAGGAGTATGTTGTTGACAATCTGCTTCAGCAAAATGGCCATGAAGTATTACGTCTACCTCCCTATTACTGCATTTTTAACCCGATTGAGTTGGTCTGGGCTGCTTTAAAAAAAAAGTAAGAAAACATAATCAGACCCCTCAATTAACTGAATCGCTATTGGCCACAATAAGAGATGCAGTATCTCATATTGCTGCCACAGACCTATGGAAGCAGTGTTCTAGGCATATTATTGAAAAAGAAAATGAATATTGTGTTTTGCCTCCTGTAAATCCCGTTGTAATTCCTCTACAAGATGACTCTAGCGACAGCTCCGAAGACGAGGATGATATATAAATACCTATAATGTAAGTCTTTATATACCTTTTTATATACCTACCTGCTATGTAAATATTTGCCTATGTCAAACGTTGGAATTCTGTAATTTTTCCATTTCTTAACTTTCAGTCAACATAAATTAAACTCCCAATATAAGTATTTTTTATCCCAAATCAAAAAAATAAGAAGATAGTAAAATCCATTTATTGTGATATAAAAACATTATTATTATCGTTCTAAATAAATGCCGCACGCCTATGATACGTCATGAAATTACAAAGGACGCGCCGACCAAAGGTTTTTATGCTATTTCAAGTGACTTCAGATACACCATACTTTTGTATTCTTTGTTCATACCTGCACTCTCTCCTTACCCACTGACTCAACGAGTTATCTTTAATTTTGAATCAATCCACAGGTCTATATTTTTGCTAGTCGGTGATACTGATAACTATCCTATTATTCCCTTATACCTACCAATTTCTACATTGTCGAGGAATAACCCGTCGAATTTATAATCTACTATTTCTCCAATAGCCAGCTTTGGGGCTGACACGACTGGTTCCAGATATTCTTTTCCATTCTTCATCACCTTTTTGTTAGTTTGTATCGTTGAAACTGATGTTCTGCCTGAAACCACAAACCGAAATATACAGGGTGGTCCATAAGTCCTTTGAAATTTCAAATTTGAATAAAATTTAACGGGTGAGCGTGAGCGGCGCGGGCGAGGTGGGGGCAGTATCTTCAGTGTCTGGGAATTCAGTCGCCATGGAGTGTTTCACTGGAGCGGATCGTGCTTTTAGTGTGCGCGCGTTTTATCAAAATAATGATTCGGCAACGATTGCGCGGCGTGAATATCGAGAATACCACAATTTACACAATTTCACAAAGTGTCCAACAGCTCAAACGATTAAGAACTGGGTTGCTAAGTTCCAAGAGACTGGTTCGACGTTAGATAAACAGCGGTAGGGTCGACCAAGGACAACTCGTATTGAAGAAAACATCAACATTGTGGCACAGTCTGTTCGTCAAAATCCTACCTAGTCTACTCGTAAGCGTTCCAGTGCACTAAACGTACCCAGAACATCTTTACAGCGGATTTTAAGGAAAGATTTACGTCTGCACGCTTACAAAATTCAGTTAGTGCAGGAATTAAAAGATAATGACGCTATTCAGAGACTAAACTTTGCGAATGAAATGTTGAATCGATTTTCTTCGCTCAATAATGTGTTGTTCTCGGACGAGGCTCACTTCCATTTAAACGGGCATGTAAATAAACAAAATTGCCATTATTGGAGCCCCGAAAATCCAAGGCGTAAGCATCAGAAGCCCTTACACAGCCCTAAAGTTACAGTTTGGGCTGCTATGTCAGCGCATGGCATCGTAGGCCCTTATTTTTTTGAGGACGACAGAGGTCGTGCATTAACTGTTACTTCGGAGCGGTATGTAGCAATGATAGAAGAGTTTGTGACACCAGCGTTGCAGAATTTTCCAGGCTATAATACGCAGACCTGGTTTCAACAGGACGGAGCAACTGCCCTCACCTCCAACACTTCTATGCGCGTCGTCTGTCAACTTTTTCCCAGCAAAGTAATTTCTCGAAGAGGAGACATTTCCTGGCCACCACGTAGTCCAGATTTGACCCCAATGGACTTCTTTTTATGGGGCTACCTCAAGAGTAAAGTGTACGACACCACTCCGCGATCAGTTGATGTCCTGAAAGAAAATATCCGAAGAGAAATGGCAAGCATTACAGTGTTGACTTGCCGCGCAGTCATCGACAATTTTAGACGTCGTTTATATGAGTGCCGTGATCGTAATGGATTGCATTTAGACGATGTGATTTTTAAAACATAATTCCCATTCAATAAAGATGATAACAAAATATAATAATTCTTCATAATGTAACTAGTTTGGTTTTATTCCTTTTTTTTCCAGCTCAAAGGACTTATGGGCCACCCTGTATTATAATACCTTATTTCCGGAAGAACTACTTCAATAAGTACCCCGAAATGGCCGAAAATAACTTGGGAAAATACAAGATTTCGAATTCTGAATTGACAAAGAATTAGTCAAGAAACAACAGCTAACTGAGTATTAGTCTGAAAAATGTTTCGAATGTTTTTATTTTTCTTTTAATCATGTCAATAAGGAAGAAATAAAATACGTATCTTGACATGCACTTTGTTGGATATATCAGATTATAGTTATAAATCTAAATAACCGCATACATATACAGGGTGTCCCGAAAAAAGTGTGCAATATTCTACCAGCGGTTTCTAGAGCTTAAAATAGGAAGAAAAATTTATATAAACATAGGTCGACAAACGTCTCCTAAGGGCGCTACGGTCTGGTTTTTCCTTAATATTTCCGAAACGTGTCGAGATAAAGACATCAAATTTGGTATTCTAGCCTAGTTTTTTATGCTGGATTTAAAAATATTAACAATTTCAGACAGTTTTGTTTGGAGCGTACGTAACAGGGACGACTCAGGTTATTTTAGCCCCAAAATGTTTGTGTGATTCTATTTTTGAAAATCAATTTTAGAATTTGAGTATTTAGGGTTTTCTACATAAAAAAGGTATCCTTATTGAATATCGATAAATTATGCCGTTTTTGAATAAAGTCCAACTAAAAAATTTGTCACATGATAGGAAATGTACTGCGAATTTAAATGAATTGTTGATTATACATAGTTAGCCATGATTGCAAACAAAAGTTGTTTTGATTTATGACTTATTTTGACGTTAAGCTGACATTGTTAGCAGTGACTAGATTAAAATCAAAATTTTTATTAAATCGATTTAAAATGTCAATATTTACAGACAGAGGACTGACTGACGTGCATTTTGTGTACGAGTTTTGCAATGGCCGTTCATTGGCAGCCGTAAGAGAATATCAAAGAAGATTTCCCAATCGCATAGTACTTGGACGTCGAATGTTTACTGATATTCACCGGAATTTGTCAAACCATGGAAGTTTTCAGCGCATGCAGGGCTCAGGAAGGCCACTGGGAAATCATCGTATCGATATTTATTTAAATATGTTTGAAAATAATCCGTAAGTAAGCATACGATATGTTTCAGAAAATATGGATGTACCTCAATCAATAGTAAGAAAAATGTATGAATACCTATTTGATAGTTATCCTAAAAATAATAATTTTAGATAGGAAGAATGACAAGAATGCAAGGATTACATCCTTATCATTTTAAACGGGTCCAGCATTTAACGGAGGCAGATTTTTTACCACGAATCGAGTTTTGCCAGTGGATATTAGCAAATGAAAACACTATTCTTAGAACATCATGGTCGGATGAGTCAATATTTACTAGGAATGGTGCTTTTAATTTACATAACATGCATCACTAGTCAGATGAAAATCCAAAAGTTGTTCGCCGTACAAATTTCCAACATAGATTTTCATTGAACTTATGGGCAGGAGTAATTGGGGATCAAGTAATTGGGCCTATAGTACTTCCCAATCGTCTTAATTCAGAGTTGTATCTGAAATTTCTTCAGAATGAGCTCATGGATATACTACCATTGGATGTGCGCCAGCAGTTTCAAGAAAATATGTTTTTTCAACATGATGGCGCCCCTGCACATTTTGGACGCAATGTTCGAAATTGGTTGAATGTCAATTTTCCAGACAGGTGGTTAGGCCGAGGAGGTCCTATAGCGTGGCCGCCACGTTCACCTGACCTAAATCCATTGGATTTCTATTTTTGAGGCTCATTAAAGACCTAGTTTACTCGTCTGAAGTAAATACTCAAGAAGATTTACTTCAAAGAATCCATCACGCTGCAAATTAAATAAGAGGAAAAAGGTTTTCCACTTTTCGGGCTACGCAATCATTAGTTCGTCGAGCGAGACTCTCGACAAATGGGAATTTATTTGAACACTTATTGTAAAGCTAGTTTTATGTATATCCAACTGTATGTCTTCTTTTATAAACAAATTTCAATTTCGTTCGTAGAAAATATTTATTTCTTTTGTTTTTGCCTAAATGTTAGCTATGTTTCAATAGAAATATGTATTTATGTAATATTTACCAATTATTTTTCGTTGCTATGGCTAATTATTCAAGAATTCATTTAAATTCGCGGTTCATTTCCTATCATGTGACAAATTATTTAGTTTGATTTTATTCAAAAATGGCACAATTTATCGATATTCAATAGGAGTACTTTTTTTATGTAGAAAACCCTAAATTTTCAAATTCTAAAGTTGAATTTCAAAAATAGAATCACACAAAAATTTTGGGGCTAAAATAACCTGTTACATACGCTTCCAAACAAAACTTTCTAAAATTGTTAATATTTTTAAATCCAGCATAACAAACCAGGCTAGAATACCAAATTTTATGTCTTTATCTCAATACGTTCCGGAAATATTAAGGAAAAACCATTTGCAGGGGAGCCCCTTTAAAAGACCGTAGCGCCCTTAGGGGACGTTTGTCGACCTATGTTTATATAAACTTTTTTTCTTATTTTAAGCTCTAGAAACCGCTGGTAGAATATTGCACACTTTTTCGGGACACCCTGTATAGACGAAATTTAAAAAAATAATAATAAAATATCAAATGCGCCCAAAATTAATGGGTAAATTTTTTAGTATACAGGGTAGCTCAACGAAAAGGTCGCACCCTTGTTTGTGACGCTCCTGCTACATTTTGGGAAAAACGCTCAGACGAGTCAATTTTGATTTCTAGAGGAACGTCTTTCCAGCGTTTTTCAAAAAATATCACTGATCAACAGCCAAAAAATATCCTAAATAAAATCAACAAAATACTACTATTCTTACTGTGCTAAAACCGGAATGAAACTTATTTTTTCAATATTAGTTCAAGTTTTAGAGATACGGTAATTATATGTGTTCCTGCTGTGACAGTGTTAATATACTGTAATTCACAAGAATGCACGTGCTACATTTTTATATTCGGCAAGGAAAGATGATGTAATCGGCATGATTGTGTTACGTTATACGTGTACATTATATTGTTTTATATTAGCCAGTTTTTCGTCAGTTGGCTGACAGCGTTCATGCAAGATGTCTCGAAAGTGTGTAAACAATCCAGATCAGTTTTGTTACGTGTGTGGTGATGTGACTTTTGCGTCTCAGAGACGGTCTATTACTCCACTAATAACAAAGGCATATCAGCTTTATTTCGGTTGTAAACTAGGTGATCCAGACAAACAGCGGGCACCCCACATCTGCTGTAATACATGTGCTTCAAGTCTGAGGAGCTGGTTAAATGGCAAAAAACGGTCTATGCGCTTTGCTGTCCCAATGGTTTGGAGAGAGCCTACAAATCATATTAATGATTGTTACTTTTGCATGGTACCTTGTGATGGACAAGCCACAGGTATGTCCAAGAAAAAAAAATCGGTTATTAACTACCCAAACATACCATCTGCTATGAGACCTGTGCCTCACAGTGACGAAAATCCTATTCCAAAACCCCCAGAATCCTACACTTGCGAATCAGAAAACGAATCAGATCATGGCGATCGAGTGATTCGTCAGGAAGAAGATATGCCATCAACGTCAAGAGATCCCGATTTTATGCCGAGCACGTCATGCCACCAACCGCACAAAATAACACAGTCAGAATTAAATGATCTTGTAAGAGATTTAGAACTTCCAAAATGTAAGGCAGAGTTACTAGGATCAAGACTGCAGCAGTGGAACTTGTTAGAAGACGATGTTTCGGTATGTGTTTTTCGTAAACGCCACAAAGACTTAGAACCATTTTGCAATATGGAGAATAACTTGGTTTTCTGCAGTAACATTAACGGCTTACTGGCGGCTTTAAATATAAACTATAACCCAGAAGAATGGAGATTGTTATAGACAGTTCAACATTGAGTTTAAAGGCAGTGTTATTGCATATTGGAAATATTTTACCATCTCTTCCTGTAGGGTATGCAGTTCACATGAAAGAATCATATGACAATATGAAGTACCTATTGACATGCATAAAATACGATGAGCACCAATGGCATATTTGTGGCGAAAAAAGGTACCAGGGACAGTGAAATCCTTCCATGCTTGCAGACTACTGTTGGACTCTTGGTAGAGATGCTCCAGAAACGATCCATAAAAGAACAGCAAAAAGACAGCGCATATAGTGATTCTTATAAGTATATGAATCTTGTTACTTTTTTTAATATATCCTTAAAAATAAAAAGTTTTTTTCTAAACCGCAACTATTTTTTTTATTTCATTGTCATTTTTGGATTCAGCGCCCCAAAATTAACAAAGAAGTGCACTTTTCCCACAAGATACAATTAAGAAACTAAAATATGTTGTCCAGTGTATACCAAGAGAGTCTCAAATAGGGATGCGTCCTTTTCGTTTGGCCACGCTGTATAGTAAAAACTTTTAGCCTATTCAGAAAATCCGGGTTCTTATATAACATAACAGCACTCTACTGTTCATGGGAGGATAACGCTATTAATACAAAAAAAGGAAAAGTTATCTAACAAATTATGATATTTTGTGTTTCGAGTTACACTTCAAATTCAAATTCAAATTCTTTTATTATCCCAAGAGACATTACAAAGTATGTATAGGATTCGTCGGAATAATAACTAATAAATCAACACAAAATAAATATATGTAAAACAAACACACAAATAAATCATAACATAACAAACTCAGAGATAACATTTACACACAAGAAAATCTGTCAGTTTAGCCTTAAAATTATGTATATCTCCACAGTCTTTAATATGTTTTGGTAGTTTATTGAAAATTCGTGGACCCAGTATCTCCGGAGATCTGACGCCGATCTTATACTTGTCAAAATACACATTTAAGTCTCCAGCTTGTCTGGTCGAGTACGAGTTAAAATTGTTTAAAAACCTAGTTTTATTAATAAAAGTATACACAGCCATTTCATATAAAAATAAAGTAATACTTGATATGAATGTACTTACTCACATTAACGTGGAAGGCGCCTTGACCTTTCAGCGGTGCAAAAAAGATGTTTCCTTGCAAATGGTAGTTTCCTTCAATGTAAATGTACGGAAAGGCTAGTTTGCTGGTGTACGTCAGGTTTTTTGGGTTGAAACTGCAAAAAGGCATCATCAAATTCAAATTGTTTCATTAGGTCCCAACGCTATACATAAGTATAGACAGGAGTACGTCATATGTATAACATAGAACAACTATGTAGAAAAATAGCTTCAAGATCAAGATTTTTAATGAAAAATAAAAAATTCCTTGTACCTCAAAAAATGTGGAAACCTTATTTCTGAGCCAGCCCCCGTATATAAACGCATAGTAGACACTAATTAAGGTTTTAGACTATTCATGTATACTAAGTGACATATAAATCCGAACACCCAGTTTAAATGGTTTTATTTTAATAAAAGTTGGTGAATGTATTTATCTTACTGTAAATAACAAGTGAAACAATTTTCATCCTTATCAGTTGGACATTCCGGTTTTTATACTGCTTCTTTTAAATTCACTAACGCTCTAAAAATGAATATTTCAGCCGCAGTAAAGAATCAACGTTGGCGGATTTTGGTTCTTGACATCCTTTACGATCGGTTACGATGCCTAGAGTACGGAGACCTGTACGATTTCGTCAACTTAGTGAGTTTGATAGGGGCCGTATAGTGGGACTTCGGGAAGCTGGACTTTCTTTTCGGGCAATTGCAGTTAGAGTGCAAAGAAGTGTAGACACTGTGGTTACGTGTTGTCAGGCATGGCTTCGAGAAGGCCGTACGCAAAGAGCAAGGGGCACTGGACGCCGCCGTAGAACAACAGACCGTGAAGATCGCCGCCTAAGATTATTGGCCTTAAGGGACCGTTTCTCCACTACCAGGTCCATTGCAAATGAATGGTTTGCAGAACACGGAAGACCTATTGGCATGCGAAGTGTTTACCGACGAATGAGAAGTTTTGGCTTGTTTTCATACCGGCCACACTGGGTCCTCCCTTTAACTCGAGAACACCGACGAAATCGCCTTGAGTGGTGCAGACAACGGTCATTCTGGGATCAGGAATGAAACAGTATTGTCTTTAGTGACGAGTCTCGATTTTGTTTAGGCATGCACGATGGTCGTGCCAGGGTTAGAGGGCGACGTGGTGAAAGGAGGAATCCACAGTTTTTTGTTGAAAGACATGTTCATCACACTGTTGAAGTTATGGTTTGGGGTGCTATAGCTTTTGGTTCCAGGTCACCTTTAATCTTCATCAGAGGTAACATGAACGCGCAGCGTTATATCCACGAAGTTCTAGAACCCCATCTTTTACCCTATCTTGACACCCTGGCAGATCCAACTTTCCAACAAGATAATGCCCGACCACATGTTGCAAGAGTCACAATAGACTTCTTTCAACATAATGATGTCACATTGTTACCATGGCCACCAAGATCTCCCGACTTATCCCCAATTGAGCACGTGTGGGATATGATGGGTAGGAGATTGCTCAATTTGCAACGTCCTCCTCAGACTCTAGAAGCACTTCGAGAGGAGTTGGTGGTTGCCTGGAATGAGATACCACAGGAGGACATTGACCACCTGATCATAAGCATGCCTAGGCGCGTTGGAGAATGCGTAGCACATCAGGGTGCATCCACACATTATTAAAGGTCAAAGGGCTTTAAAGCAGTGCAATCATTTTGAAATTTTTATCATTTACTTATTATGCTTCATTAAGTACTTATACAAAATTTTATTAAAATAAAACCATTTAAACTGGGTGTTCGGATTTATATGTCACTTAGTATATTTAGCGTGTTGCAAACAGTGCCGATATGGGTTTCCGAACTTAGATGGCAATCAACCACTTGACCCAAAAAAAATGTTGACATAGAAAGCTTGATTTCGGGGCCATTAAGGGACAAGTTAATATTACACGATTGCTTTATCACAGATCTCATATTCATAGCTACTGTGTTATCGTGATTAATCATTAGAGTGTTTAGGCTGTACCTGTTAGCAAACCCTCAGGGCACTGTATTCGTCTTCAGCTGCAATTCTGTCTCAGATGCAGCAGAAAATAACATCCGCATATAAATATACTTCGCTTTCAGTGATCTGGTGAATCTTCGATGAAAAGCAGGAAGAGCATAAAGAACAAAACGTTTACCAGTCGTATAACAATATTAACTTTTCGACATGATTTTAATTTACGGTGAGGGTCGTCAATATACTACCGAGGCTTCGCGAGTATATCCAGAACGCTTTCCGAGACGTAATCATCTAGGACCACGTCGCGTTGTTTACTTTGTGCAAAGAACTAGGGATACAGGTTGTTTGCAACTGGGCAAACGTCAAGTTAGTACTTCAACTCCGACCAGCCGAAATGAATGGCTTTTAAGCAGAACTTGGTCATCCGGCGAAGTACTACGGCGTGTGGGAGTAATGCTTACTTACTTGAAATACTCGAACTTGTAATTTTCAAGTCCATACATGGTCATGTCAGTAACATCAGCTCTGTAATTGATGGCCTGATTGCCGTCCTGTAGAACGACCGCAGGGATGCTGAAGTTGACGACGCTTTTGGAAAAATTCGGTACTCCTTCCAGAATATACGGTCTGACTGTTTCGGTGGCGCGCAGTATGCACTTATTCAATTCTGGATCGTTGCGATGGCATCGCGGAAAATTGGGTGCTAGAACAATAATAAATATACTAAGTGACATATAAATCCGAACACCCAGTTTAAATGGTTTTATTTTAATAAAAGTTGGTGAATGTATTTATCTTACTGTAAATAACAAGTGAAAAAATTTTCAGCCTTATCAGTTGGACATTCCGGTTCTATACTGCTTTTTTTTAATTCACTAACGCTCTAAAAATGAATATTTCAGCCGCAGTAAAGAATCAACGTTGGCGGATTTTGGTTCTTGACATCCTTTACGATCGGTTACGATGCCTAGAGTACGGAGACCTGTACGATTTCGTCAACTGAGTTCGATAGGGGCCGTATAGTGGGACTTCGGGAAGCTGGACTTTCTTTTCGGGCAATTGCAGTTAGAGTGCAAAGAAGTGTAGACACTGTGGTTAGGTGTTGTCAGGCATGGCTTCCAGAAGGCCGTACGCAAAGAGCAAGGGGCACTGGACGCCGCCGTAGAACAACAGACCGTGAAGATCGCCGCCTAAGATTATTGGTCTTAAGGGACCGTTTCTCCACTACCAGATCCATTGCAAATGAATGGTTTGCAGAACACGGAAGACCTATTGACATGCGAAGTGTTTACCGACGAATGAGAAGTTTTGGCTTGTTTTCATACCGGCCACACTGGGTCCTCCCTTTAACTCGAGAACACCGACGTAATCGCCTTGAGTGGTGCAGACAACGGTCACTCTGGGATCAGGAATGGAACAGTATTGTTTTTAGTGACGAGTCTCGATTTTGTTTAGGCATGCACGATGGTCGTGCCAGGGTTAGAAGGCGACGTGGTGAAAGGAGGAATCCACAGTTTTTTGTTGAAAGACATGTTCATCACACTGTTGGAGTTATGCTTTGAGGTGCTATAGCTTATGGTTCCAGGTCACCTTTAATCTTCATCGGACGTAACATGAACGCGCAGCGTTATATCCACGAAGTTCTATAACCCCATATTTTACCCTATCTTGACACCCTGGCAGATCCAACTTTACAAAAAGATAATGCCCGACCACATGTTGCAAGAGTCACAATAGACTTCTTTCAACATAATGATGTCACATTGTTACCATGGCCACCAAGATCTCCCGACTTATCCCCAATTGAGCACGTGTGGGATATGATGGGTAGGAGATTGCTCAATTTGCAACGTCCTCCTCAGACTCTAGAAGCACTTCGAGAGGAGTTGGTGGTTTCCTGGAATGAGATACCACAGAAGGACATTGACCACCTGATTAGACGCATGCCTAGGCGCGTTGGAGAATGCGTAGCACATCAGGGTGCATCTACACATTATTAAAGGTCAAAGGGCTTTAAAGCAGTGCAATCATTTTGAAATCTTTATCATTTACTTATTATGCTTCATTAAGTACTTATACAAATTTTTATTAAAATAAAACCATTTAAACTGGGTGTTCGGATTTGTATGTCACTTAGTATACATTTCGATTTATAAGAAGTGATAAATCATTTCACAAGAAAATAAAAAAGAAAAATTTTAACGTTAAAAGAACTGGAATAATTGTAAGTGACTTAAAAGGACGTCCTTGGTTAAATAACTATACATAATGATACAGAATATTTTTAGGCACATATGAATAAAAAAATCTATATACAACTGGGTCCTGAAATTTTATGTTTCCGTGTGTTTAGGGAAAAATTTTACATGATTAGTTTTTGCAAATTTTATTTAGCCAATTAGAAGGCATTTTTAAACTAATATTTCTAATGAATATGGTCGATTTCTTCTAAAATATCTCGCGAAAAGTTATTTCTGTAAAATAGGCCTCTAATCCCTATATTAAATCAAGAAATTCTTTATAGACAAAAATCCATTTTTTTCATCTGATCCCAGGTCCAAAATTTTCTCATAAGTAGCAAACAAACGATCAATCACAAACAAGTATCATGTCCATATACATTGTTACATTTATTTTGTTGGTTATAAGGAAAACTGCATTTTTACTGTTTTTTTTTAATTTTTTTAAGTAGGCGTTGCAAACAAATGTTTGACGTAAACAACTACTGTCACCGAGTACTGTTATTAAAATTTAAAAACGCCATCATGTGGCGCCTCAAAAGCGCCAATGGAAAATTGTGATTAGTTTTTTGATATTTCCTAAAATAAGTTCAGAAAAAATAAAAATATTTGTACATATTTTAGTTTTTCCCAAACAGAAGCAGATTCCATATACCAAATGATTCTTGTTTAAAGCCTCTCACAACGCACCACCAAAAAAATGTCTAGCTGTTCGTAAGTTTGACCCACTAGGACCGTACTATAATATTTAATACACGTTTGTACTTACGTAGATCATCAATATTAGCTGCCCTACTCCCACAAACGAACGCCAATACCAGAAGGCAAACCGGGTACATCTTTGATCTTGACACCGTGTGACTTCCGCCTCAAAACTGGCGTAAAATCAAGCATGCTAGCAGTGTTTCTTCAAATGTTTTATAAGTGGTTGGCATTGCACTTTGTTTCCCGGTAGAGATTATTTGACCGGCTAGATTTTCCCGTGGCGGAAAACAGTATTTATCTCAAAGTGTTGATCGACTAATAAATAGAATAAACACAGGCGCATCTGGGTCGGTCTGGAATACATGATTTTATCCTTTTTGGGGTAGATTCTACTCCTGGGTGGCGGTCAAAATTAAAACGTTGAATCTTCGACCTCTGCTTATCCGCAACGTACAGTATCGACATTGGAGTAGCGCAAGGCTCAGTTTTAGCACCCCTTGTATTCATTCTGTATATAAGTGATTTGCATCTCTCTGGATTTGTAACAAATTATGCGGATGATACGTCAGTTCTTGTAAGTGGAACTACACGCAATGACATTATTGCAAAAATAAATGGAGTAAAATGTGAAATGAAAGGGTGGTGCCAAGCAAATCGTTTGATTTTAAACCTCGAAAAGTCAGATGTTGTACATTTTTATAGAAACGCCCCTATTCTAGCAAATCATGAGACATCGAAAACTACGACATTCTTGGGAATAGAAATGGATGCAAAGCTCAGTTGGCAACAACACATGGACAGTGTGTGTAAAAAGTTGAACCAATCATATTATGCGATTCTTAAGATCAAGTTTTGCTTATCAGAGTCAGCTTTACTAGATGTATATTATGCTCTCGTCCACTCACATTTATCAAGGAACATCATAATTTGGGGACAAGCAATTTCAATTTCTAGAGCATTTGTTCAACAGAAGAGAATAATCAGACTGATATTCAACATTCGTAGAAGAGAATCCTGCAGAGATATCTTCAGAAGTAAAAACATCATGACTCTACCAAGCATTCATATTTATAGGTGCGCCCTTTTCACACATACAAACAAAACAAAATTTATACAGAACAAAAACATCAACACACATTATAATACAAGGGCAGGTGAGAGTCTGAGTATTCCAAAACACACACTGACGCTGTTCGAAAAGTCACCGGAATACACCTGCATCAGAATATACAGGGTGACTTCGAAGTTGAGTCATTTATTTGAACAGTGAGTAGATCTGATCAAAAGAAATGTTTTTTTCCTTTACCATTTTTCTGGTAAAATTAAAGTAACAAAGTTATAGCCCTTTGGAAGTTTGAGTACCGTTCTGTCTCAATAATAATATTATGTGCTCGTGTTTGGCGACAACGGATATAATCCGCCTTATCGGTTCATCGCATTGGAAACAAAAAAGCGAAAGAATTTGGAACGATGTTTTTACAATTATTTCATTCAGTTGTATACAGTCAGTGTCAGTCGGTAGTGAATAGTGGTGTCTGTTGCGTGGCTCAAACGAAATAAAAAATGGCACATGTTTATGCGGATCGGTTTCCCAATCGAGTGCAACCAATCCCTCGTGCCTTTGTTAATGTAGTACAACGGGTTCGTGAATCATTTGACTTAAGACCTCACATATGGACGGCATGCCAGTGCTCCAAGACCTCACGATCAAATACAGGTCCGCACTGAAATACTTGTCGGGAGGATACTTTATAAAACAAGGTAAAATTTTTTTTAATTTTTTTTTTATTTTTACACACATATTTTGGTTTATCTTCCTTCTACAATCATTATCTGAAAATTAATGACTCAACTTCAAAGTCACCCTGTATAACAAACTTTCAGCTAACCTCAGGAATGTCAGTAGTATTGCTAGTTTTAAATGTAAACTACGCAAATTATTAGTTGAAAAATGTTTCTACTCTTTGTCTGAATACCTCGCACTGTGATATATTTTTTTTAAACTTTTTTTATATGTGAATGTCTGTATGCCTTAAGTTGTCCCTGTTTGTACTTTGTAAATACTTATGTTTGTTCAATTTTTATTTTTAATTATGTGTACTATGTACCTCCCTCTTAGGACGAGTCTTATGTCATTTTTTATGATCTACAAGACAATAAATGTATCTATCTATCTATCTATCTATCAAACGGTATAAAGAAAGTCGATCATATTTCGGTTTCCATGGCAGGTGTAGAGAACATATGTGTGACTTTTAATAATAGAATGTCCTTCACTGACACCAAATATGCAACAACCATTTACCGCATACAGTTTCCAACCCACAAACCTATAAGCCAACAACAGATCAGTGACAATGACTAGCAGAAATGAATCCAAAATGTAACTACCTTGTTTCCTACTAATAAGCTGTGTGTAAATCCTCAAAAATATGCTTCTATAAAATGTTCTGCAAGGTGAATCCTGTATAATCCTGAATAAATGGGGAGTCAAGCAATCACATTGTATGAAATTCTTAGGAATCTATATTTTTGCTTTGCTTATTTTGGATGACATGGGGGGTAGGGAAGTCTAGATGATGATTACTTCATCGGTAGTTATTTACTTTTTTACACGAATGGCAACCCTCACATTGTCTTTGCTTGAAAACGAAACGCATCTTCGGGGATTCCCGCAAATAATGCATACGTTTAGTGAACAGCGCGCGGTAATTCCCCTACTCGCTTTAGAACCAAAGTTTAATGTTTAAATAAGATGTCGTTTCACATAGACAAATCCAAGTTATACCAAAAATTGTTTGAAAGTTTTAAAAAATCTGAGACAAGTACGAAAGTACAAAATGTACAAAAGTTAGTTAACGAAGTGTGGCGAAATTACAAATTACAAGCAAAATCCGACAAGGAACTAGATATTATTGTATCTAAGAGAATCGAAGAAGAATTGCAAGCGGCGACTGAGAATAAATCCAATCTACTAAATTTTTTTTCTAAGGTGAGTGACGAAATCATTTTAGGTACCTGAGTACTAGAAATATTATAAATCGCCAAAAAGTTTCTCTTTACTGATTAGAAAATATTATGGCCTATCTCAAAGTATAGAGGTAATATTCATTATATTATAGATTTATTCCTTATGATTGATTCCGTCAATTGGTCACAAAGTACAGGATGTTAGTTTTATACATATATACAAAAAAATAACATCCTGTATTTTGTGACCCGAACGAATTGCTCGTTTAAACGTATTAGATTTAAAGCCATAGAGTTTTGTATTTACCATATATATTGCCATACTTTGTATTTATGTAGCTTAATAAGAGAATCTTTAGCAGAAGCCATAGAAAGTTTTTATTTTTAGACAACCTGTAAACCTGCAGAAAAAACACAAATTATACAGTCAGCTTCAAATATGAAAAAAGAGGAAGAAGATAAAATGAAACGCGGTAATGAATGACAACAGCAAGGCGAAATTAATGAAAATACAGATAAACAGAGAGCAAAACCTTCTCAGGAAGCTATGAGAAATAAGGTTGCTCTACTCGAAAAAAATCTGAATTTTTTGTATTCTACAAGAGATACTATGCCAAGCCGTGCTCAAGTTGATAAACAGATCACTAAGTTGCGCGATGAAATAAAAACAGCAAAACAGTCTTTAAACAGGAAGGTTCAAAACGCAGTTGCCCAGAAGAAACACAGGGATGGTATGAAAAGAAAGTTAGAAGATATTTGTCATGAAAATCCAGAAATAAAAAAATACTATCTCTGAGGGATTCAGTGGGACGTCCTAATCTTGAAAGCAATCAACATTCACTATTGAAAACAATCGCGGATATAGCTTTATTTGGGAGTGCAGCAGATGATAGAAGACGAACGGAATCAATTCGCAGCGTAAAAACTCTTGATGAACTCACACAAGAATTACGTAAAATAGGATTTGACATTAGTCGCAGTGGGAAATATCTTCGTTTGATTCCCAGAAAATCTAATTCTGCAGAGGGACGAAGACATGTATCGACAGTCCCTCTTAAGCTCATTCGGGCTCAAACTGATCACCACAAGAGCCACTTAGATAGCAAGTTCGCTGAAACATCAATCCATTATTTAGAGAGCATAGCATCCATACTTGGACCAGATCAAGTATTTTTCATATCTCAAGATGATAAAGCTCGAGTCCCTATTGGCGTAACTGCGGCAAATAAGCAAGCACCTCTTCTAATGCACATGGAATATAGAATCAAATTGCCTGATCACGATTGGGTAATCGCTGAGCGTCATAAATTAATACCATCTGTTTATGCTGGTATCAAAATCACTTCCAATATGCCAGGATAACCGCAAGCCGTTGGATATTCTGGACCAACATACATCGCTTTCCGAAGTGGAAAGCATAGTTCATCTACTGCTAATACTTATGTTCAGGATTTCGAGACGCTTCTCGAACTTGAAGAGTTTCGACCATTAGCTAAAACTGACCATGGACTAGTAAAACCAGTGTAATCATGACGGTTGATGGAGGGCCAGATGAAAATCCACGTTATCAAAAAGTCATAGGGTTTGCTATACAACACTTTAAGCGACATGATCTCGATGCATTGTTTTTAGCTACCAATGCTCCTGGAAGAAGTGCGTATAACAGAGTAGAGCGCAGAATGACTCCTCTTAGTCGGGAACTGGCTGGTTTAATATTGCCTCATGACCATTTTGGATTTCATTTGGATGAAAGTGGCGTTACAATTGATGAACATTTAGAAAGATCTAATTTCGAATTTGCAGGAAATGTATTAGCTGAAGTATGGAGTTCAATGGAAATTGATGGCTATAACGTTAATGCAAAATATGTTGGGGCAGGTGAACAAGATCTTCCTGATTTTCCAGACATTAAGTGGTATTCAGAACACGTGCGTGAGAGCCAATACTTGCTTCACAATGTAAAATGTAGAAATACAGAATGCTGTCGTCCCTGAAGTGGCCTATTTAGATTACTAGACAATAGGTTTCTTCCTCCACCTGTAAAAGTAAAACAAACAGTTGATGACTTGCTTTTGGATGAAGGAGGGCAATTTCTTAATCTTAAAGTCAATTTAGCTCTACGCTTAAGTGCTTCACTCAATGATTTCCTGCAAATGCCCTACGATTATGTATGTGGTTTTTATCATGCTTCCGTCAAGTCACTAAATCGTCACATCGAAAATATCCATAAAAAAGTAAACACGCACACTGATAGGAAAGTTAGACCTGTAAGAGCGCTACTCGTCATACTAATGAACTGATGTGCATTATTCAAAATTTAGCGCACCATGATGTTGAATGGCTCGATGAGAACGACCTAGACATTCCAAAATCCGATGAAAGCACACTGAGCAGCAATCGAAGCAATCCAAAGACATCGAAAACTTAGAATCATGGATTCGGGTTTCATGGACTGAAGACTGTTAATTTGAATTTAATATATGTATCAAAAATTTAAAATAAGTTTATGTTAGTAAGATATAATATTTTTGTCCTTTACTCTATGTTGAATATCAGTAAAATATAATCTCTATCCTAAATCTATTTTCTTATTCTTCAAATTATAATTATAACGCTATAATTATAATATTAAAAAAACAATACATAATTGACAAATGTTTACGTAAGCATGGCGGGAGGGGGTAAGAGCTTTGCTTACTTTTGCTGACAAGGAGAATGGGGGGGGTAAATAATTGTAATAAATCTGCTTACGTAATACTTGAACGGCCCTTTATATTGCAAAAAAGAGCAATTAGAAACATGTTTGGTTTATCGTCTAGAGAGTCTGCACGACTTTGGTTTGAACAGGAAAAATAACTCACTCACCATTCGGCGTTTTTTCGAAAATAGTCGAACCGCCACTGGTAGATTCTCGCAAGTAGATTTTCATTCCCGCAAATGGTGTGTCTAGTTACAAAACTAATAAGCCAATTTTGATAGAAACTAGTTTTTACGGGGTGTAATTATTTAAAAATATCATTACAACAAAGTTGTTATAATATTACTTCTAATTACTAGTGTAAAAACTACCTGGTAAGATCGATATCAACAACATTCATAAACATTTGGAATTATGCTTAAATATCGTTCAAAGTGAAAAAAAAATCAAAATCCGTAGAAAAAACAACACTACTCCATCGGGTTGTTAAATTAATAAAAAAAAAAGGCGTTATCAAAATTTACTTCCGCTGTTCGAGAAAAAATTGTGGAAACCGGTTTAAGGAATAATGAACTTTAGTTCGCAGCATAAAGTATAAGTTCGGACTTTCCTTTACACGACGCATGGGTGTTGAAAAATACGAGGTTTAGTAGGAATTCTTAAGATTAATAAGAAATATACAAAAACTGATGCGCATCTATGATCGAGGTGGAAGCTTGTTTCTAGGTGGATCGGGTGCGTAGATTCCGATCAGTTCAGTGCTAGAATTCTCGGGTAGCCCCGAATAAGTATTTTTTTTATCAATTTTTCACCCCAAATCCGGTTGGGTGTAAGTTTGGAATTTTTTCATTATGATACTCATATTCAGCGCTCCAAATTATCTTGTGATACAAAGTTTCGCTAAGATGCAGCCGTCGATAATAAAAATGGATTTTTAGCATCTTAAAGTAGCAAAAAAACAATACTTAGTTTTGCAATTTTACGGGATTAGATATACAGGGTGGCGCATCGAAAACGAGACAGACGCATTTACTGGCAGCACAGTTTTTTTTTTAAAACGTTCAGACTCATCGATTTTGTTTTCGAGGGGGACACAAGTTTGGCAAAAAATCACGTTAGCACGTGCAGCCCCCTAAGCAGGGGTGACACCACCCCCAAAATCTTAAATGGAAAGGGGGGTCGAGTGATACCTTATTTTAAAGGTCTTTCAATTCCTATTATAATGATATAAAATTAATGTACTTCAGTTCAGTAGTTTTGAAGATTTATTGATTTAAAGCTTAAACCCGTTAGGCAAGTGAATGTTGAACATGGCCACCATGACTCTCCATGCAATAATAAAGATTTTGCTCAAAACTTTGCCGCACATTTTGCAGTATTTGAGGAGTAATTTGAAGGCACTCATTCACAATTCTTTGTCGCAGGTCTTCTAATGATGTTGGCTGAGTAGCATAGATTTTTCTTTTTAAATGACCCCACATAAAGAAATCCAAAGTTGATAAATCTGGCGATCTTGGGAGCCATACAATGGCACCTCTTCTACCAATCTATCGATCTGGAAACGTCTGATCTAAATGACATCTGATTCAGTACTAGCGACCCAAAATACGAACGCTAGAGGTCATTTGAACCGCATTTAAAGCATTTTAATTTTTAGTTACCATGTATGTATGTAATTTAATTGATAGCCAAAAATGCAGGATATGATTCCTTAGCTCATTTTAAGAAAAAAAGTTTATATGAACATATGTCCTGAACCTCTTAACTTTAGAGCTACAGGGAGTCCGAATTTTAAGAGAAAATTGGTTTTTTTCATTATGAAATAATTATCGTCATCGTTGTTTTATTATGTAGAATAGCCGCATTTTATCGTAAATAGGTTGAAAACGCTGTTTTCGCCGAGATAAGCAATATTCTTCACCAACAGATCGAAATAAACCCATTTTCCCATGAGTATTATCACTACTATATATATTATAATAATAATTATTATTATTACTATTGCTATCACTATTATTATTAATATTATCATCATAATTATCTCAGACACAAAAATAAACATTAAGAATGTCTAAAATTACCGAACCATAACGCTGTTAGGCGAGGTATTGTAAGTAAGAACATATTACATAAGTAACTGCGTGCTGGCGGATGGTCCAAAACCTGTCATTTTCGGCTTCATAACGAGGTTTTTTCCAATATTGGATCATACGAATAACTCTGTTCCTCTTCTCTGGACAGAAAGACAAACATCTTTGAATATATTCCGAGCTTTAGGAATGTCTAAAATTACCGAACTATAACGCTGTTAGGCGAGGTATTGTAGGTATGAACATAATACAAAAGTAAGTGCAGTAGAACAGTATTAAAGATATAAGAAAACGTTTTTTTTCTTAAAATTCCTAGTTGAGAGGCTTAATATACTTTATCTGAAGTCACTTGAAAGACTGTGAAATACCGGGTGCGTTTTATATATCTATATTTAACACGCTCTGTTGCTGCAAAAATCGCCAAATTTCGCAGCAAATATCCCCCGTATAAGATCAAAGGCAGTTTCACCAGTCCACGTGGAGTAAAGCACGCCTATGCGTGGACATAGCCAATGAGAAAGCGTGTATTTCAGAGCTCCGAACAAGTGCAGGTGGCTACTGAAAATTGAAACAGTTTATCCAGTGCCGTGTAGCGGTGAATAAACGTGTTTTCTTTAGTCTGTCCGTGTTTTTTCATAGATTTTATTAGTTTGTGTGTTTTTGACTTTTGAATACTCAGTTTAATTGTTGATTTAATTGTTGTGTTGATTGTTCTTGTGTGTCCTAAACATGGCTCTTTGGAGACCTTGGGAAAATGCTCCAAGCCACGAGGAGATGGTTGATGAACCTGTGCAGGCAGAATTCTTTCATAAAGATTTAGAGGAACAGACCCAAAGAGTAATCCTAAATATGTATGATTGTCAGAAAAACGAAAATCCAGATTCCTCGCAAAATCAAATTTTAAACAGAATTTGTATCCTGACAAAAATCAGTCGGTCTACCATTTATCGGGTTATAAAAAGGCGAGATGTAGTCAACCATTCCTTCCACAGAAAGCGCATAGCGCAAAAATTAAAAAGAATAGACGTGGGTTTTCAGGAAGATATTCGTCGTATAATATACGGATTTTATAAAGAAAATTTGGTGCCCACGTTGGAAATGATACGGGATAAATTAAAAGATTATCCTGAAGATTTTTATAATTACAAATGCTTAGACTCACTGCACTGTATTGTAAAACTGTGTGGTTTTCAATACAAAAAATTAGATAAAAGAATGGTGATTATGGAGTCGTCTCGAATCGTTGAATTGCGCCAAGAATTTTTGCACAAAGTTAAAATCTATAGAGAGCAGAAAAGAAATCTGATTTACCTGGATGAAACGTGGTATGATACCCATGATGTTGTGCAGTACGGCTGGGTTGACGACAGCAACAAGTGCATTTTAAATGCACCATGCAACCGTGGAAAACGAATCATTATTCTCCATGCTGACAGTGAAAATGGATTTATATCTAATGCCTTGCTGTTATCTGCCAAAAATATCAAAGAATCATGTGCCGACTATCATAAGGACATGACCTCCGACTTATTTGAAAAGTGGATAGAGCAGCAGTTAATACCAAACATTTCCCCAAATTCAGTGATTATTATGGACATTGCGCCATACCATTCCCGACAGAAAAACAAAATTCCGAATACAGGTACAAAAAAACAAGACATTATTGATTTTATGAAGGATAAGGGAATGGAAATACCACAAAAATCAACCAAAGCCATATTATTGGATCTTATTAAAAGACAAAAATTTGAAAAAGAGTATGTTGTTGACAATCTGCTTCAGCAAAATGGCCATGAAGTATTATGTCTACCTCCCTATTACTGCATTTTTAACCCGATTGAGTTGGTCTGGGCTGCTTTAAAAAAAAGTAAGAAAACATAATCAGACCCCTCAATTAAGTGAATCGCTATTGGCCACAATAAGAGATGCAGTATCTCATATTGCTGCCACAGACCTATGGAAGCAGTGTTCTAGGCATATTATTGAAAAAGAAAATGAATATTGTGTTTTGCCTCCTGTAAATCCCGTTGTAATTCCTCTACAAGATGACTCTAGCGACAGCTCCGAAGGCGAGGATGATATATAAATACCTATAATGTAAGTCTTTATATACCTTTTTATATACCTACCTGCTATGTAAATATTTGCCTATGTCAAACGTTGGAATTCTGTAATTTTTCCATTTCTTAACTTTCAGTCAACATAAATTAAACTCCCAATATAAGTATTTTTTATACCAAAGCAAAAAAATAAGAAGATAGTAAAATCCATTTATTGTGATATAAAAACATTATTATTATCGTTATAAATAAATGACCGCACGCCTATGATACGTCATGAAATTACAAAGGACGCGCCGACCAAAGGTATTTATGCTATTTCAAGTGACTTCAGATAAAGTATACATATGTTCATAAAAACTTTTCTTCCTAAAATCAGGTCCTGTATTTTTAGCAATCATGTTCCAAATCAGCAAAAATGGGTCAGTCGGGAACGTGAGCCCAACCATTCCTATAATACGTTTTTTGGGTCGCTGAAACCGAATCCGGGGTCCGTTCAGTCCGGAAATGGCTCGTTTTTGAAATACTGGCAAGAATTCTACTTTGTCAATAAACGACTAATAAAAAATCTCCAAAAACTGTAGCGCGTGTATGGTCCAGATGGAAGCTCGTTTTCTAGGTAAATTTGGTGCGTAGATTTTGAATTCGATAGCAACTCAGTATTAGCCTTCACGGGTAGCCCCAGCATACTAGTTTTTTACCAATTTTTCACCCCAGATCCCGTTTACACTTTAAAATTTTGTCACAATGATACTAATATTCAGAGCCCCAAACTACCTTACTATACAAAGCTTCGCTCACATGTAGCCATCGATTATAAAAATGGATTTTTAGCAAAAACGCATAGTTTTGCAATTTTTCGGTAAATAATTAGATCTACATGATAAACGGGATCAAATACGTGGTACTGTTAAAGAAAACACACTAAGGATCTTTGTGGAGTCAGAGCGTGTGTACCTTAAACATACTTTCTGCATAGTTTTTCGTTACGTCCGTTTGGGTTTGGTAATGCTACAGAAAACGTTTATTATATTTCTGTATTTCTGCACACACAAAATATGTTTCAATGCTCATTCTATCCATACGCCATATCTTTGAGAAAATTTCAAAACCTAGTAGGTCAAGCTTACGCAGATTTAGTGCTCGCCTAGACAAAATCCAAAACCATGTATCTTATATGTGTGAACTGTATTCAGTGACTTAAAAAGTATAACCTGGGATTCATCATAAAAAAGCTTCGAGTGATACAAACATTAATCAGAAAAAATGAAAATAATAAACATCAAAATTTTTTCATACTTGTCGATTCTTCCCAAACATTTGAATTAAGCTGGAATGAAATAGAAATGCCATAACATGGTCAAACACTTTATCATTTCTAATAGATTTAACTCATCCTAATGATATATTGTTCCGTATACACAATGGAGAGTGAAATGTATTTTATATGACTTTTATTGTTTTCCTACATTTATATTATACCTATGTATTACATATTCTCACGTATGCATTTAAGTCTTAAGGACTAGATAACTCTGATCTATCTTAGACGAAACCACCTTAAATACGTATAAAAAAACAAATGATGTTGAACACACTATTTAGGGAACAGTTTGTTGTATGGTACTTGTAAGATCGACTTGAGCAGGACATCGATGAAGAACCACCTTAGAGAATTCTCAATATTCGGCCGGATTTCCTTCACTATGAAGCCCAAATTGTCGTCCACTACTTTCTTCACCACACGATCTGTAACAAAGGGCGGAATGAACACCAAGTAGCCATTAGAAGCCGTCGGTCACACTCTAAGGGCCGTATCGTCAGTCAATTGTAAGTCGCCTTTAAGGCCTCCTTGATTTTCATAGTATTTTTTCTCCTTGCCGAAAGGCTGGGGTATTTCTAGGTTACTGTTCCGAGACAGCAAAGTGAGGTTACGTTTTCTTTTTGAATCGCAGGAAATTTCAGGCTGATAAGACAGATGATATAAATCAAAAACATGTATAATTTGTTGCAAATAGATATTTGTAACATAACCTCAAAATAGAGCGCTGTCACGGAACAGTAGAAAGCTACGAAAATCAACCAGCCCATAAAGGTGTCCTAAAGTAGAGTACGAAAAGTCAACTTTGAAACCCGTATGTCTTGTAGCAGCAGTCGATCAACAGTAAAAAAATCCTTTTTAAAAATGGTTTTGTGTAATGTAACGTTTGAAGTTGTGGTTTTCATGCTGATAAAATTCTCCATGTTGAAACGTCCATAAGACTCATGTGTGTTTTTGAGTAGTTTTTTAATTGATTGCGTATTTCCTCTTGGTTTAAATCTAGGTACACTTAATCATATACAGGGTGTCCCATTATTCCGTGGACATAGGAGAACCTTGTACTTTTAGACACAGAACAAGTCGATTGGACATGTTCGTTTGCCCGTTATAGGGCTGAAAGCTTCCTTTTTAAAACGCTTTTTCATTTCAGATATTTTTTACCGACTTTTATAAACAAACTCTAAAGGGTTCGAGAAGTGAAAAAACTACCCCTACCCCTACATAAATTATAGCAGAATATTTCCCGAAGACGCTGCATTTTTTTATTTAGCAGATCTTTTTAATCACTCCTTTTTTTGCCTCTAATAAAAACAGACCATGTCGGTCAGTATTCGAAAAAAATAATGAGTTGCATCAAGAGGTTCCCAAACATCTTATTGATTATTTGAGCGAAAATAAACAAGTATGATATTACTTATTACCATTTTATTTAATACAGGCGAATCTTTCGTAAAAGGTGTTCAATATGGCCACCATTTTCGTTCCTGCATATACGTCGTAAAAATATGAACCAGCTCCAAAAAAACATTTTTGTTTTTTCGAAAACTATGCGAGATAGCCTGCTTTTATAAGAAACAAAAAATGGAGTAACAAAAAGGATCTTATGAATAAATTGGTTTTTTCGCGTGTTTTGAACTCTTCTGGGATTTTTCTAAAAGTCAAACATTGGAACGTCTAGTCTAAAAGTACGTGGTACTTCTATACCCACTGATTATTGGGACACCCCGAATAACGTTATAAATTACTGTACTGACTTACCAACTTCATTATTGTTGCTACCATTTTCCGCAAAAAGACCCTCAAAGTCATAGTCTTTGATTTCGCCTGTATCTACTTGTGGAACAGAACGAATCGTCTTCAAATATTCAACGCCATTCTTTTTGACCACTTTCATGTTCAGAAGAAGTGAAACTCGTGTGCCAGCTAAAAAAATAACCATATTTGACGTAACTGCAATGAAATTTTTTTAGCTAAATGGCTAATTCCTTGATTGTCCTTAGAATTTTCACTTTCGCATTATTTCCCGCCAAAAAAATGACAAAGTGTTTCGGATTTAACATTACGTTTCAAAATCTGTATTTCGGGTCATCTTTTTAGATATTCGCTGAAGATTTAGTGCCGGATAAAAAACGATATCTCCTTGGATTTTAGACAAAAAATAACGCTACCTTGTTGAGGCGGTTTGCATCAGAGGTTTTCAAAATTATCAAATTTTTCGATTTTTTTACGATTCTAGACATTTTCTAAAGTTTCGGTATTTTTGAAATGTCCAGGGCTTTCAAGATTTCGAAAATTTCAAAGCTCTGAAAATTTTGAAAATTTGATCTAGAAAATTCTGAATTTTTCAAAAATCTTGGATACTGAAAATATTAAATATTCTGAAGATTTCGAAAATTTATTTTTTTAGCTAAATGGTGAATTCCTGGACTCGTCAAAATTATGTATTTTTCAATTTTTCAAAATTTGGAAAATTTTAGTGTTTTGCACGGTTCTCAAATCCTGGAAATTTTGAAAATCGTGAGAATAACGAAAATTCTAAAAATTTTCATTTTGAAAATTTTTGAAATTCTGAAATATTCGAAAATCTTGAATATTGAAGATATTAAATATTCTGAAGATTTCGAAAATTTAATTTTTTTAGCTAAATGGTGAATTCCTGGACTATCCTCAAAATTTTGTATTTTCCAATTTTTCAAAATTTGGAAAATTTTAGTGTTTTGCACGATTCTCAAATCCTGGAAATTTTGAAAATCGTGAGAATAACGAAAATTCTAAAAATTTTCATTTTGAAATTCTGAAATATTCGAAAATCTTGAATATTGAAGATATTAGATATTTTGAAGATTTTGAAAATTTAAATGTTTTTAGCTTAAAGGCGAATTCCTGGACTGTCCTCAGAATTTTCTATTATGACATTATTTTTCGTCCTTCGGAATTCTCGCCGCAGATCTAGGAAATGCCTTGAGTACAAGGTATTTCACATTTAACATTGGGGTTCAAAATCTGAGTTTGTATCTCTGGTCATAGGTATTCATAGATGTTCCTTGAAGATTGAGTGCCATTTAAGAAACGATCTCTCATGAAGTTTAGACAAAAAATATTGCTTCCTTCCTGCGACATTTGTTAATACAGGTCTTCAAAATTTGGAAAATTTTTGCACGATTCTCGACATTTTTGAAATTTTCAGAATTTTTAATATCTCCAGGGTTTTCAGGATTTTGAAAATTGCAAAGTTCTGGAAATTATGAAAATTTGGAACATCCCGAAAATTTTGAAAATCTTGAAAATGATGAAAATTCTAAAAATTTTGATTTTGAAAATTTTGAAAGTTTTGAATGCTGTTTAGGAAACGGTCTCTCCTTGAATTTTAAATTTTAAAATAACGCTTCCTTACAGCAACAGTTGTCATCACAGATTTTAAAAATTAGGGAAATTTGAATTTCGAACGGGTCTCGACATTTTCGAATTTTTCAAAATTTTTAATATGTTCAGGATTTTGGATGATTTCAAAGTTCTAAAATTTTTGAAAATTTCGAACATCCTAAACATTTTGAAAATCTTGACAATAATAAGAAATTCTGAAAAGATTGACGGCCGTTTAAGAAGCGATCTCTCCTTGGATTTTAGACAAAAATAACGCTTCACATCTCACGTTTTCAAAGTTTGGAAAATTTTCATATTTTGCATGATTTTCGACATTTTCAAAATTTTCAAAAATTTTAAAAGTTACAGGTTTTTTAAAAATTTTGAAAGCCTCATAGTTCTGAAAAGTTTACAAATTTCCAGCATCCTGAAAATTTCGAAAAAGTTGAAAATAAAAGAAATCTAAAAATTTTGATTTTGAGAATTTTAAAAGTTCTGAGATTTCAGAAAATGTTTAATATTGAATATGTTACATTGATATATAATATTCTGAAGGTTTTGAAAATTTAAAAAATTTGGTATTCGAAATTCTGAAAATGACGAAAACTAAAATTCTAAACATTTTGGAAATTTACCAAATTCCCCAAAGAATCGAGTTGGTTTGTTAAAAATCCAAGAAGAATTAATGTCTAAAACGGCACTCAATCCTAAAGGAACGTGTTTCCGACATCTCAGCCATGGTAAACAATTTTGGCACACCCTGTAAATAAATACGTGGTTTATGCTGCCATTACTTACACAAATGGACACGGAATGAGCCTCGCCCATTCAAAGGAGCAAAAAATATCCTCCCTTGTAAATTATAGTTTCCTTTCATTTCAAGTTCCTGGAAGACGTACTCCATGTAAAACGTCAACGATTTGGGATCGAAACTGGAAAGCAAAGTGACGGTTAAAACTGCAGGCAGAAGCCTAAAAAACAACCGCAGCTACTACGAGGGCTGTCTTTTAAGTTTTGCACATAGAAACATAGTAGACCGTCAGTACTGAATCTTAACCTCACTCTTTAGTAAACTTAAATTCAAAGTTTCACACCGATACGTGCAGTGTTCTCACTACAGTGAATTGTTAAGTGTCTCCAAGTCATTAGAAAAATGGAACTCGAACCAGAAAATAAAGGACAGTTGGCTGTGTGGGTGTTCCAAGGTGAAGAAAAGCCAACAAAAGTCATCCGCTCTCGAAGTGAAATGCGGGTCATATTGCAACAATTCCTCCTAATGAGCAAATAACTGTGGATTGGTATACCTCCATTTGTTTGCCAAAACTCATCACCGAGCTTCGAAAAGTCAACCCCGAAAGAAGAATCATCCTCCACCAAGACAATGCAAGCGCGCACACAGCTCAAAAAACAAGGCAGTATTTAACGGAAGAAAACGTGGAATTATTGGGCCATCCTTCATATAGTCCCGATCTAAGTCCTAACGATTTCTTTACTTTCCCGAAAATTAAAAACACACTGCGAGGTCAAAGGTTCCAGTCACCAGAAGAAGCAGTTGACGCATTCAAAAATGCCGTTTTGGATCTGCCAGCAAACGAGTGGAAAATTGGTTCGAGCGCATGCATATGTGTGTTAATCTTCGTGGAAAATACTTCTAAAGACAATAAAGTCATTTAAAACTACCTATCGTGTTGTTTTATTCCCATATGCAAAACTTAAAAGACATCCCTCGTATGAGGAGAAACTTTTTTAATCCAATTTTTGCCTAATGTTTGTAGAACTACGAAAAGTCTCCTCAGATAGATTGATCCACATTTTCGGTACCCTATAGACAAAGGAGCGATCGTATCGGCCAGTTCTAGATGTAAGAAGTTCGACACGGTTAGGAAGATGAGCGGTAGCACCCCAAATATGTGAGCAATTCTCGAAGCTAGGTCTTTTACACATTGAGGAAGTTATAATATAGCCCTAAACAAATGGCCTAGCTTCTTCTCTGCGAGATGTGTTCGTGCCAGATCCTCGGTAATCTGGACTTCGACCAGCCGAAATGAACGGCTTTTTGGTAGAAACCGCATGAGCGCTTATTGTTAGTCCAGGCTCAAACTGTACATTTCAAAAGGATATTAAGCTACGTTTCCATTGCAACTTCTTTTCCTGCAACATTTGCCGGCAGATATGTACTTGCAATTCTTAGAGATAGACAGTTTTGTTCTAAGAAAAGCTGAAAAGGAAAACTATACTAAGTGACATATAAATCCGAACACCCAGTTTAAATGGTTTTATTTTAATAAAATTTTGTATAAGTACTTAATGAAGTATAATAAGTAAATGATAAAAATTTCAAAATGATTGCACTGCTTTAAAGCCCTTTGACCTTTAATAATGTGTGGATGCACCCTGATGTGCTACGCATTCTCCAACGCGCCTATGCATGCTTCTGATCAGGTGGTCAATGTCCTGTGGTATCTCATTCCAGGCAACCACCAACTCCTCTCGAAGTGCTTCTAGAGTCTGAGGAGAACGTTGCAAATTGAGCAATCTCCTACCCATCATATCCCACACGTGCTCAATTGGGGATAAGTCGGGAGATCTTGGTGGCCATGGTAACAATGTGACATTATTATTGTGACTCTTGCAACATGTGGTCGGGCATTATCTTGTTGGAAAGTTGGATCTGCCAGGAAGTCAAGATAGGGTAAAAGATGGGGTTCTAGAACTTCGTGGATATAACGCTGCGCGTTCATGTTACCTCTGATGAAGATTAAAGGTGACCTGGAACCATAAGCTATAGCACCCCAAACCATAACTCCAACAGTGTGATGAACATGTCTTTCAACAAAAAACTGTGGATTCCTCCTTTCACCACGTCGCCTTCTAACCCTGGCACGACCATCGTGCATGCCTAAACAAAATCGAGACTCGTCACTAAAGACAATACTGTTCCATTCCTGATCCCAGAGTGACCGTTGTCTGCACCACTCAAGGCGATTACGTCGGTGGTGTTCTCGAGTTAAAGGGAGGACCCAGTGTGGCCGGTATGAAAACAAGCCAAAACTTCTCATTCGTCGGTAAACACTTCGCATGCCAATAGGTCTTCCGTGTTCGGCAAACCATTAATTTGCAATGGACCTGGTAGTGGAGAAACGGTCCCGTAAGGCCAATAATCTTAGGCGGCGATCTTCACGGTCTGTTGTTCTACGGCGGCGTCCAGTGCCCCTTGCTCTTTGCGTACGGCCTTCTCGAAGCCATGCCTGACAACACCTAACCACAGTGTCTACACTTCTTTGCACTCTAACTGCAATTGCCCGAAAAGAAAGTCCAGCTTCCCGAAGTCCCACTATACGGCCCCTATCAAACTCACTAAGTTGACGAAATCGTACAGGTCTCCGTACTCTAGGCATCGTAACCGATCGTAAAGGATGTCAAGAACCAAAATCCGCCAACGTTGATTCTTTACTGCGGCTGAAATATTCATTTTCAGAGCGTTAGTGAATTAAAAAAAAGCAGTATAAAAACCGGAATGTCCAACTGATAAGGCTGAAAATTTTTTCACTTGTTATTTACAGCAAGATAAATACATTCACCAACATTTATTAAAATAAAACCATTTAAACTGGGTGTTCGGATTTATATGTCACTTGGTATATTATGCAGAGTGTCCAAGATGAGCATCATATGCTCAATACTTGTGGGATATACAGCTCATGTTGAATTATTTTATTATTTTTTTTTTATACCGAAGCAAACGCTCAGGCAGAAGTCTAAATGCCGAGACACCGCGGCTGCGTTTTTTGAGCATATTCACGTGCCGTTGAGAAATAAAAATGTTATAGCTTATAGAGATATTTGGAAAAACTTGACCAAATCACTTTTTTTACTTCATTTTAAGAAACATAAAAAAACGAATCTTTCTCATTGGCACTTTTTAGGCACTACAAACTTCTTTCGCGATGTATCGTTTTTTAGAAACCATATGAACTTTACTTTTTATATGATCCGAAAAAAAAATACACCCTGTATCTGATAGCATCTTTGTCTAGGGATTCAACGATGTATCTGACACGTTACGTTTGTATTCTAAAAAGATTGTGTTTTTTATTATTTTTTTTATTTTATTCAAGTGATCGTTGCAAACAAATGATGTAAGATTATGTGATTACTGATAGCATACACACTACGTATACAGGGTGACTTCGAAGTTGAGTCATTTATTTTAACAGTGAGTAAATCTGATCAAAAGAAATGTTTTTTCCTTTACCATTTTTCTGGTAAAATTAAAGTAACAAAGTTATAGCCGTTTGGAAGTTTGAGTACCGCCCTGTCTCAATAATAATATCATGTGCTCGTGTTTGGCGACAACGGATATAATCCGCCTTATCGGTTCATCGCATCGGAAACAAAAAAGCGAAAGAATTTGGAACGATGTTTTTACAATTATTTTATTCAGTTGTATACATACAGTCAGTGTCAGTTGGTAAAGCGTGTGAATAGTGGTGTCTGTTGCGTGGCTCAAACGAAATAAAAAATGGCACATGTTTATGCGGATCGGTTTCCCAATCGAGTGCAACCAACCCCTCGTGCCTTTGTTAATGTAGTACAACGGGGTCGTGAATCAGGTGACTTAAGACCTCACAGGGGACCTCACGATCAAATACAGGTCCGCACTGAAATACTTGTCGGGAGGATACTTTATAAAACAAGGTAAAAATTCTTTTTTATTTGTTTATCTTCCTTCTACAATCATTATCTGACAATTAATGACTCAACTTCAAAGTCACCCTGTATAATGGCGTACAATTTTGCAAAATGATGCTTAAACTAGTGATATTCAAAATATTATCATTAGTATAAAAATCTCACCTAATCTTTTTCATTTCATAATTATCCATCCCGTAGAAAACAACTTCAGGAATCTCCATCCTGTAGTTGAGAGCATCGTTCCCGTCTTTCATCACCATATTCCTTATCGTATAGTTCTGGACGGCAGGTAAAAGACCTGGCACTCCAGTTCTCAAATAGGGTCTCAACGTTTCGCTGGCATCCATCAAACATTTTTCTATTTGAGGGTCGTTGCGGCGACATCTTGGAAAGTCTGGTGCTGTAATTGTATCGATAGAAGTTGAAATTAAAAAATATATATATAAGGCCAAACCCTTTACAATGATTTTCTTTTGGCGAATTTCATCATTTATTGATCGAGCTCGAAACTGCCTAATACTGGAAGTATGACTTCACACATATTATATGTTTCTTTCTTAGCGACTCAGTATTGTGTTGAAGTCTTTTGGATACTACAGTATATTCAGATAAGAGATAGACCGGATGTAAACAAAAGGTTCGGGTGATTTTCACGCTAACGCCGCCGTCTCGACGTAAAACAGGAGCCCTCATTGGTCAATTCGCAATTAAATGCCTATGCCGAGCGGCAGAGCAGTCGTATCAAGGCAGAGTCACATTCAGGTTCAGACGTGTTACGTATGTCGTGTGCATCATTGCAATTTGATATTTCTTTGGACGTTTTCGTTTGTTATCTTATTTAGTTGTTGAGTTTGTCGTTGTTATTGTTATACATTGTTATTGATTGTTATTGTTATCAAATGCTTGCGCAAAATGCCCAGTAGTACAGATACTGCCGATGAAGTTGTAAACTCCTGTAGTCCACCTAGGAAACGCTCTAAAAAAAGACACCTGAGTGCAGAAATGAAAGAGGTCATTTTGAATATATATAAGATCGAGCGCGAGGAGAACGAGGCATCAACCATCAAAGAAATTGTTGTGAAGGTTTCTCACAAAGTTGGGGTGTGTCGCGCATCAGTGTTTAATGTGTTAAGACAATACAAAAAAAATCACACCTTTTCTGAGCCAATGACCAGTAAACATCGCAAAAGTATTGTTAAATCATTGGATGAAGCTGATAAGCATGCGATTAGGAGGAAAGTGCATGAATTCTTCTTTAGGAATGAAATACCTACTATAGATAAAGTACTGCAGGAGGTAAATGGAGATACAACGTTGCCAAATTTCAAACGATCAACTTTCCATTCGTTACTGAAGCATTTAAATTTCAAATGGAAAAAACGGGGTCGTAATAGTTTACTACTGGATAGAGAAGAAATTGTGCTATGGAGGAGGGATTATTTAACAAAAATTGGGAAATATAGAAATCAAAACAGGAAGATTTATTACCTTGATGAAACGTGGGTAAACGCAGGACACACTACAAGTAAAGTATGGGTTGATGATTCTGTAACTTCATCCAGGAAGGCCTTTCTAGATGGACTGTCCACCGGATTAAAAAATCCAGCAGGTAAATACGAGTAATAGACAACAATCGGATGTTTTTCAAACCTTGGGAACAAGGTTCTAAACATTAATTCCAGGGGGCAGATAAAACATATTACAAGTAACAAAACTTTTATAACTTTTAAATTTAAACGCCATTTTGAGATTATATTCGACTGTATTTCACCAAACATCAGGCGGCATCCGAAGCTGGAAATCGAAGCGAAAATTTTGAAACCCTTATGTATATTTACATCATTATATATTTCTTACCCCACCCCCACATGATCTTATATCCATCACCAATCGTATACACATCGAATTGTGCTAATTTACTACAAAGTTACGCAAAGCAGCATCTACTATCTAAAATATGTACTGCGTGACTCTTAATACGTCCCTGCCGAATGTTACAGCGTTCGATGATCACGTGGTCTTGTTTATGTCCGGTCTATCTCTTATCTGAATATACTGTAATGCTATAATATTTTATTAACGACTATCTCAGAAATTTCCTCACAAAATATCATTGGCCCCTCGTAGTGCCCAATACACGCAACATTATTTTGGGAAATAAGACGGTCCTGAGGTCTACCCATTACGAGACAACCCTCGTAATATACAGAGTGTTTCAGTTTATTGTTGCATAACTTTAAGATTCGATAGAACTTTTAAAATTAATGCATAAAGTCTATATAAACATGAGTCGAAAAATGCGTGGCTTCCGAAATACAGGGTGTTTAAATTTACTTTCTAAAATAGTTTTTTTTTAATATTTCGAACAATATTTGATATATAACAGTGAAAATTGGTATACAAGGGTTTTTTGGTACGACAAAACGAACCATGGGCATAGTTTTACTGTAGGCGCTAGAGGGCGCTCTCTACTGTACCTGTAGTGTATTAAAAAGCTTTGAACAAAAATGCCAAAATTGCTAACTTTGGTCTATTAAAGAACAGTAAGAACTAAAATAAAAAAAATAAAGATAATGTTTCATATTTAAATGCAACAACTTCATAAATGATTTCATCGTGAAATTTCAGTTATTTTTAAGAGACAAATCCCGGCTTATAGACCCTGATCCTTTCATCTTCTGGGTTTTAATTAGTATTCCCGATGATTCTTGTTTCCTACATAAATATTATGCTTGTTTTGATAAAGTGATTTATGTGTTTTTATACCGTAACTGATACTTATTCAGATGTCATTCAGCACATATATATAACCAGCATGATGTCATAATTAAGTAAAAAAGTTGTTCATAATTACCATTAAATAAACAACAAACGTGATGTGTTTTGGAAGAATAACAAGATGCGGAATCGAGATATTTCAGTAAATACTTAATATTCTATACGACTAAGTAACAACATTCAACGTTGAATAAAATTTTAAATTGGTTTTGAGTAAACGTTTTCTTTCACCGCTGCCCAGTGAAAAACATCAAGTGGATTTAAGTCAGGTAGATGGGCTGGCCACATATCTCTGTAAATGCTTAGTGGCACGTCCTCCAATAAATTTGGTAAATGGTTTTCTAAAAGGTCTAAATGAATTTCGCGATTCATGCACTCTGGCAGCTCAAAGGGTGCAATGATTCTCGCATTTAGAATCCCGGTCCACATGTCCATAATGTGATCTATCTTGTCTAATCTAATGTGGATTTATGTAACATTTTTTTTAAACGTCGACTCATCGGTCCACAAAATTAAATCTGTAACAGAGTTTGACAAAACTCAAAACTCCAATTTTATCTAAGGCCTGTAATTTGAAAAGTGAACGTCTTAGATTTTTTATATTTTTCTGGTAACTATCATGACTTGGCCTATCCTCCGTTTCCGGCTTTACGTGGACTTCTGGGACACCCTTGTATAATATTTATAAAATATAAAAATTTTCTCGGATAAGCGCATAATGTGTTTAGTTAACAACTTGACGGGCAACGGTTTAGCGGACAAACAGACAGACCGATAAATAGAAATGGTTTTTCGTGATGTAACATACATGATGTCATATAACATCCAAAGACACCATTTTCGGAATTGTTCGCCAATACAACACTCCCTCTCCAGTGGCGTGGCAAGTAAAGAGGCGACCGCTATACAGATCCTAAGGATGATCCAATCCAAAAACAGTCTTAGCAGAGCTTGGAAAACCTCTTCAGAGCAAATTCCTCAGCCACTAGGCGCGGGAAGGAAAAATAGTTTTTTCAAATAACCGATTCAATTGAAACATGCTACTCGTATTACTTTTATAATAATCTACAATCACTTACGTAAATCATCCAATGCTGCTAATGAACAGCACCAAATGAGGGCGGCTTGTACCACTAGGCAACAAGAAACTTGCTTCAGCATATCGGACAGCAATCGAAGTGCGACTGAAAGCAAGTTGGTATTTAACCAAGAATTCCTTCAAAACTAATTTCCATTTTGTATAATTTTCATATACTCGTAATTGCTTCACTGGTTGGCATTGCACTTTGATGTTAGCTATTGCCTCAACAAATTAAACATACATAAATGTTGTTATGGTAAATACATACAGGGTGACTTCGAAGTTGAGTCAATTATTTTAACAGTGAGTAGATCTGATCAAAAGTAATGTTTTTTTCCTTTACCATTTTTCTGGTAAAATTAAAGTAACAAAGTTATAGCCCTTTGGAAGTTTGAGTACCGCCCTGTCTCAATAATAATATCATGTGCTCGTGTTTGGCAACAACGGATATAATCCGCCTTATCGGTTCATCGCATCGGAAACAAAAAAGCAAAAGAATTTGGAACGATGTTTTTACAATTATTTTATTCAGTTCAGTTATACATACAGTCCGTGTCAGTCGGTAACACGTGTGAATAGTGTCTGTTGCGTGGCTCAAACGAAATAAAAAATGGCACATGTTTATGCGGATCGGTTTCCCAATCGAGTGCAACCAACCCCTCGGGCCTTTGTTAATGTAATACAACGGGCTCGTGAATCAGGTGACTTAAGACCTCACAGGGGACCTCACGATCAAATACAGGTCCGCACTGAAATACTTGTCGGGAGGATACTTTATAAAACAAGGTAAACATTTTTTTTTTAATTTTTTTGTTATTTTTACACACATATTTTGGTTTATCTTCCTTCTACAATCATTATCTGAAAATTAATGACTCCACTTCAAAGTCACCCTGTATAGTCGTTGATTAGCTCAAGAGCATTAAATTATAATTGCAGTGCTGACCAATTTACGCACATTTTTTTAAAAGAAAACAAAGAGATTCAGCGATCTGTTTGTTGATCGTAAGCTAAGACAAATTTACATTCAGTAGGAAAATACCTGTACGTATAAATGTTTATTTTTGAAAAATATCAAATGCTTGCCGATTTGGATTTTTGAAGAAAGCCCTGAAAAAGCTTGAACGTATAAAGAACTAAAAAACAACGTTTGATTTCAAACACGTTTCAGTCCTCCGATGTTGCAGAATGGCGTAAATAAGGACGGCATTTTTTAGCTAATGACGTTTCCAACCAGTGACTGAAGAATGACGTCATTTTGACGTCATCATGTTCACTGGGCAGTTTCTTCACTGAAATGGTTTTACCAAGTATATTCTACCTGAAGATATCTGATTAAAATAGGCTTAAGAGAAGTGTCAAAAAGGATTGAATATCCTAGCGCCATCCATGAGCTAGTAGCAGATTCACTGTAACTCTGTTCCAATTAGATTCAAAACCGTCCATTTTTGTGTTTTCCTAAATGGGGCTAGGATCTTTCAGATTCCTTTTTAGGAGTCAAACTACAGAGAATGGCTGTCTTAGGTAGAATACGTTTATCAGTTTTTTTTTCCTGCTAAAAGCTATTACAAAAAAAGATTAACAAGTATCTCCGCCAGGACAAATTTTTTTAATCGTATGCTGGTTTATGACTTGAAAAATAGATGTTATCATTCCTTTCCAACGGAAATTGCCGTTTCGACTCGGAACATGTTTCACAGTACAACAGATAATGACTGGACTAAATACTGCGTTCACCATTATTTAAAAATTCAAACATCGTGTGTGTATGGTTGACTTTATTGTAACTTGAGTAAGTCTGATACATAGGCAACCAGTATCACAGCAGTGGAGTCTAACCTGAAAAATAAAAACACACTGCCTAACCTCACTTTTATCTTACACGGAGTTTTTAAAACACTTTAAAAAATTAATTGTTTTTAGTTTAACATGAAAACCAAGTGGAAACCTATAGAAATAGATGGAAATTTATTTTCCGGCGGTGTGGAAGGTTTAGTTGGTATAGAAGAATGTACAGACTATGATTTGAAAGATATTCCACGAGTAAGTTCATTATTATCCGTAAATGCTGCAATCCAGCTTTTCTGGTGTACTTTTTTCTAGAATACAAAACGTAAACAACCGCAAGAACCTCCCGAAGTCAAAAAGAAAAAGAAGAAAACCGCGAATAAGCAAAATAAAAGCAACAATCATGAACCTGATTGCGAAACAATTTCACCATCTAAATGTGGCCAAACGAATCAAGGTTTTGATGAAGCTTTTGAAAGTAACAGCGCCCCTCTAGATGAACTAAAAGCTGTAGAAGCCTGGGAAGGATTTGGTATTCCAAAGCCTATTCTTACTGCTTTATCAGAATTGAATTTTCAGCAGCCGACTCCTATACAGTCACTAACTTTTCCATCAGCGATATTAGGTAAAACTTAATTTAGATATGAGGTGTTGTGTCAGTATACCTATCTAGATGCTAAAATCAAGCATTAACTTTTTGAATGTTTGTCTGAAATACTACATCACCACTTTTGATGCTACTGGAAAATTTTATTTCAATGCTTAAGGGTTCTTGATTTTAGGTCGTTGTGATATTCTTGGCGCTGCTGAAACTGGTAGCGGTAAAACACTTGCTTTTGGCATTCCTATGTTAACAGGAATCTTAAAAATAAAGGAGAATGAAGGCAGTGCTGAAGATAGGGTAGTTGATTCAGATTCAGAATTAGAAGAGGAAGATCTCAATGAAGACGATGGTAAATAATAATTCCTTAATTGATAACTTTAGATACAATACATGATTTTCAATTACTTTTTTTGGTTTTTCTGATTGTTTCTCTAGAAACTGGCTGCGTTAAAGTGATCAACAACATAGAAATGAGCAAAAGTCAGTATACAAAACCTCTTTATGCTCTGATACTGACACCGACAAGAGAGCTAGCCATGCAGGTGAAGAATCATCTGGAAGCTGTAGCAAAATATACAGGTATCTTTTTCTCATTTGAATGTTATTTGAAAGAATGCATTTTTTTTGAACAGTGAAGTGTCTACTACTTATACAGTATATTCAGATAAGAGATAGACCGGACATAAACAAGACCACGTGATCATCGAACGCTGTAACATTCGGCAGGGACGTATTAAGAGTCATGCAGTACATATTTTAGATAGTAGATGCTGCTTTGTGTAACTTTGTAGTAAATTAGCACAATTCGATGTGTATACGATTGGTGATTGATATAGGATCATGTGGGGGTGGGGTAAGAAATATATAATGATGTAAATATACATAAGGGTTTCAAAATTTTCGCTTCGATTTCCAGCTTCGGATGCCGCCTGATGTTTGGTGAAATACAGTCGAATATAATCTCAAAATGGCGTTTAAATTAGCCTAAATTAAAAATAATCATATATCTCTTAAAATTGCTTTTAGAATATTGATTAGTATATTTTTTGATTTCTAGGTAAATATGTAACCAAATTAAAACGTTCAAAACGTAAAAAAATGTGCATGGTTGAACATTGTCAGAAAGTAGATTCTTGAATAGGTTTTGCCAAAATGGGTTCAAAAATGTCAATAATTAATTAAAAAATACAGTAGCTTTATAATTACTTATAACTTACCGAATTTGATGAACGACATCTTTTATTGGAAAGATGAGCTTGATGAGCTTTCATCATCGCTACTGCCTGAAGCACCAACGTCAATAATGAATGGCTCGACTTGTTCCTCTAAAATATTGTCCAGTTCCCACATTCTCTTTTCAACTTTGTCTTTCACGTGCTTAATACAGTTTTCCCATTTTTGCGCTGTTATTAATTCTAGTGCTTCTTTGAAAAGTCCTTTGAGGTCACAAAATTTAAAAGTTGTATTGTGCTTAGCTATATAATTTTTAACCTCTGCCCATATGAGCTCAATGGGATTGAGCTCGCAATGGTATGGAGGTAAATGGAGCACAGTTTTATTTTTACTTGCTGCCATTTCGTCAATGGCGTATTTTACACACAATTACTGCGTTTTCCTCTAAGTTCGGTAAAATTTTTGAAAACCACTGTTCAAACGATTCGCCATTCATTTCCTCGTGGTAATCTCCAGTTTTCTTAGACTCATAGCACCACAGACCGTCAACAACAAATCCATCCTCACTGCCAATATGGCAGATAATGAGCCTTTTCCCTTTACCTGGAAATCGAAGTACTAACTGGTGTAGATTTATTTCAACAAGCGAACCTTTTTCAAATGTTTTCATCACATTCAGCGAAAAAACATTGAGACATGAGTATCAGATTGCTATAATTGGGATTAATTAGTCATATTGAAAGAAAGAATATTGAACGTCGTATGATTACTCAGCGCTTCACAATTTAATTTAAAGTTATAAACCTTTAAAAAATGAATGATCAGGAACCTGAAATACGCGCAAATATTAATATTAACAAATTATAACTTTATAAAGCTTAAAGTATGAATTAAAATGATTAGAAATATTAGGAACGGTACACGATATAAAACTTAGTAACTTTTTTTAAGTTTATAATATTCGACATATTTTAAGATTATATTAAAAAATTATTGAAATACCGAAAACACATAAAAACATGGCTTAAAAAAGTTCTAACAAATGAAAATGACAATAAAACATCCACGTATTTTATCGAAAGTTATAAAAGTTTTGTTACTTGTAATATGTTTTATCTGCCCCCTGGAATTAATGTTTAGAACCTTGTTCCCAAGGTTTGAAAAACATCCGATTGTTGTCTATTACTCGTATTTACCTGCTGGATTTTTTTATCCGGTGGACAGTCCATCTAGAAAGGCCTTCCTGGATGAAGTTACAGAATCATCAACCCATACTTTACTTGTAGTGTGTCCTGCGTTTACCCACGTTTCATCAAGGTAATAAATCTTCCTGTTTTGATTTCTATATTTCCCAATTTTTGTTAAATAATCCCTCCTCCATAGCACAATTTCTTCTCTATCCAGTAGTAAACTATTACGACCCCGTTTTTTCCATTTGAAATTTAAATGCTTCAGTAACGCATGGAAAGTTGATCGTTTGAAATTTGGCAACGTTGTATCTCCATTTACCTTCTGCAGTACTTTATCTATAGTAGGTATTTCATTCCTAAAGAAGAATTCATGCACTTTCCTCCTAATCGCATGCTTATCAGCTTCATCCAATGATTTAACAATACTTTTGCGATGTTTACTGGTCATTGGCTCAGAAAAGGTGTGATTTTTTTTGTATTGTCTTAACACATTAAACACTGATGCGCGACACACCCCAACTTTGTGAGAAACCTTCACAACAATTTCTTTGATGGTTGATGCCTCGTTCTCCTCGCGCTCGATCTTATATATATTCAAAATGACCTCTTTCATTTCTGCACTCAGGTGTCTTTTTTAGAGCATTTCCTAGGTGGACTACAGGAGTTTACAACTTCATCGGCAGTATCTGTACTACTGGGCATTTTGCGCAAGCAGTTGATAAGAATAACAATCAATAACAAGGTATAACAATAACAACGACAAACTCAACAACTTAATAAGATAACAAACGAAAACGTCCAAAGAAATATCAAATTGCAATGATGCACACGACATACGTAACACGTCTGAACCTGAATGTGACTCTGCCTTGATACGACTGCTCTGCCGCTCGGCATAGGCATTTAATTGCGAATTGACCAATGAGGGCTCCTGTTTTACGTCGAGACGGTGGCGTTAGCGTGAAAATCACCCGAACCTTTTATTTACATCCGGTCTATCTCTTATCTGAATATACTGTAGTATTAGTAAATTTAAATTTGATTGTAAAAAAATGGTCAACTTGAGATGGAATTTCGGTGTCTTGACATCAAGCAACTTCATATAATGCCCAGGACACATTGTTAATGTGTTACTACCATTGTCAAGCTCTTCTTAATTCTTGTTAATTTTCCTGTCAGGTTTACACATTGCTTTAGTGGTTGGAGGCCTGGCAGCAGTTAAACAAGAAAGAATTTTGAGCAAAGGGCCTGAGATAGTTGTTGGCACACCTGGACGTCTGTGGGAACTGGTGCAGAATGGTAATTCTCATCTGGCACAGATCAACAATGTGAGGTGAGACCAAACAACTGTTTCCCAAACCTGGTTGTGCAATGACTTTTTAATAATAACAGTTATCGACTGAGCTCACTCTTCTTTTTTTGACAGATTTCTGGCTATCGATGAGGCAGACAGAATGCTGGAAGCGGGCCATTTTCAAGAGCTCCAAAGCATACTGGAACGTATCAATACAGATGACGCCGCTAAGAAACGACGGCAAAATTTTGTATTTTCTGCCACGCTCACATTGGTACACGAACTTCCGGCACATTTGAAATACAAGAAGTCCAAGAAAATTCAGGAGATGACTGCCCCACAGAAATTGAAGAAAATCGTTGACATACTCGGAGTGACCAGCCCAAAAGTCGTGGATATCTCCGAAGGAAAGGGTAATTGTTAAAGCAGCCGCGCAATGTTATCCAGCTAACAGCTTGTAATTTTATTTTCAGGAACATCGTCTACGTTGACAGAATGCAAAATAACGTGTAGTATGCAAGAAAAAGATTATTACGTGTACTATTTTCTGAAGAGGCATCCTGGCAAAACTATTATCTTTTGCAATTCGATCGGTTGCGTGAAAAGACTTGCAACATTGCTGAACTTGCTGGACTTCCATCCTCTACCTCTTCATGCTTGTATGCAACAAAGACAGAGGCTAAAGAATTTGGAAAAGTTAGTAAAAAATTGACAGAATTTCATCAAACCTATTTTTTAATTTAAAAAACATTTTGTCATGGAAACCCTTCTAAGATATAATGAAGGACGTGACTGATAATGGAGGGGGCAGGAAGGTCAATTCGATTTTTTTAAATAGAATCTTTGACCCCATAAATGAAACTAGCGGAAAATTTTACGTTCAAATATGGCCTTGGCCATTCATAAATTTTGACCTTAGGAGATACGGTGATATAACTTGAAAACCGGTAGTCTTATAGGACTGAGACATTATTTTCATGATTTTCCTCCGGATATCCAATAATGACCTTAAGCATAATTACCTTCAAGGTCGTGTGAAGGTCAAATCGATTTTTGTGGTCAGGAAACTATTCTGAAAGAACAGCGTAGCCATTTTAAATGGGGATTACACAGTTTTCTCAATTTTCAAGAAATAAAGATAAACTTGCTGTTGACCTTGATGGTCAAATCCAAGGATAAGTTCCAAAAATTGTCAAGAACATATTCGAACATACAAATTTCCTTTTTCTCCGTTTCCGCGATCAAAATGGTATGGAAAAACTAAGCACCGCGTTGAACATTACCTTCAAGGTCATTTGAAGGTCAAGTCGATTTTTTAAATAGAATCTTTGACCCCGGAAATGAGAAGAGCAGAAAATTTGACGTTCAATTATGTCCTTGATCTTTCATAAATTCTGACCTTTGGAAACTAAGGTCGAACCCAGGTACGGTGATAACTTGAAAACGAGCAGTCGTATATATGAAAACTCCTTACTTTAACACACTGGGTTAATTGGGACAATGATTACATCATTATTGCCTTTCAGGTTTAAAGATACACCAGATAGTCTACTGATAGCTACAGATGTAGCTGCTAGAGGTCTGGATATTCCAAGCGCGGATCATATTTTGCATTACCAAACTCCAAGGACAAGCGAATTGTATGTCCATAGGTCAGGTCGGACGGCTCGTTTATACAGAGATGGAATTACGGTTCTAATCATATCGCCGGATGAACTGCAAAATTATGTTAGACTCTGCAGAACCTTGGGAAAAAGTGAGCAAAATACTTAATACATTAATCAATTATTATAATAAATAATTCATTGAGTCCTACAGTATTCCAAAACTACTATTCTCTAGAATCGTGTCTGTTTGTAGGTGAAGATTTGCCGATATTCCCAGTTCAACAAAACTACCTGAATAACGTGAAACAACGAGTAAACTTAGCTAGGGAATTAGATCATCTACAGTTGCAGGTACAGAAAGCAAACTCAGAAGAGGGATGGTATCAGAAAGCAGCTAGGGATATGGACATTATAGTTGATGACGAGTATCCTTTTCTTTGAAAAACTTTCAATTCGCGATTTTTGTGGTCTTGTCGGTCCGTTATTTTTTAGATCTGATGTTATGTTGTTTTCCTTAATATAGACCAGTACAAAAAAATACAACACCAAGGAGGCAGATAAGTTCAAAAAGATCATAGTGACGAAAAGAAAACAGCTGACGGCAATGTTAAACATACCGATTTTCCCACGAGGTTTCAGTGGCAAGTATCCTTTAGGGCCTGAAATGAACGTCCACGACGTTCAGAAAGAAGAAAATGCGATAGAAGTTATGAAAAACGCAATCGCGAACGATACAAAGAGTGGAAACAAGAAAAAGAAGAGAATCGTTCCTTTATTCAAAAATAGGAAGACGTCAAAAGAGACCAAGGAGAATCTTGGAATCAGCTACAAATTATCGAAGAACATACGCGTTCCAGGAAAGAAAGGAGCGCCAGGTGCAAGAAATAAACGAAGAAAGTCAAGGAAAAGATAGTTTTGTATGAGATTTGTTTTATTCAATAAATATGTCTTAATCGTTTTTTTTCATACTTTTTTCCAAAATATTTTGTTTTGACAAAGTGCAGTAAAAGAAAATACATCAAACACCAGAATCCCCTAAGCAAAAAAAATGCTACGCCATTGAGCAATTAGATCCAGCAACTCATAGAACAACAAATAGCATAGAGCTGAAATTGAATAGATACGCGACTCAGTGCTACCATCGGTATATAATTATACCAATAATCGATATACAAGAGGAAGATGATATATTCTATACCTTTTGCTCAACAAAGATGCTCCGATATGGTATTGCTCAGATGAACTATGCGTCGAATCCCGGAGGTCGTTGCGGTTTTTCTTCATAGATAGCGCTCACATAGCAAGTGCGCGTGGCATGGACTAGCAACCAGCTAGTACACAAGTTCACATTATACCGATTTTTAACATTACATCGATTTTCACGTATTTTACCCCTGTCGTTTTTTACATTTGCAGAAACATCTCGACTCCCAATTTTTTGTCAGCAGGATAATACATAGGCATTTATTAGAATTTTCATAAACTTCAAAAAAATTTCCATTTCTCAATCAGATAAGTTTTTTAATAATCATCAAAGCTAGGCTTGAGACATACGACTCTTTTCTCAGAGCTCGCTCATTTCGTTCATCTCTTTTCAGTGAGTTGTTCGTTCGAAGTCGTTCATTTGAAGGATACGATTACCGAACGGCCTCGAAGCTGAAAAAGTATTGTGTTGCCTGCAGTACCGACTCACTGAGTCAGAGAATATTCACATAAATCAAATTCAAGCGGATAACCAAATGGAAATGGTATTTACCATTTTGGGTTGGTATTTACCGATCCGTTCAAGCGAGTGTAGTTATCAGTTTGGTTATAAGATCCGTGACGTCACGAATCAGCTGTTATATGTCATAGTTATCACCGCAAAATTGTGGTATTTACCCAACTCAAGAGTAGTTTTTTATTTCTGGTTATTATTTGAAATGTGACAAGTTAGAATTTTGGCGGGTATTGGATATTGTTATTATACTTCATTTTTGAGAAAAATGATACAGGCTGACTTCAGTTTTACCATAAAGTGGAGCACCTTATTAGTTATACTCATTACGGTTGTTGGGGACACTTTAAATGTAGTTCCTATGCTTATCAAAGTATCGTGTGTAGCCATATACCACAAGAATATTAAAATGTGGGCATATAAACTCACTTGATGATATCCACCTGTATACGGTTTTGCTAATTTCTTTTTTCATCATTTCTGCTGAATCAATAAATGTTTTCTTTGACATGCGGAAAAATTTAGAGAATTGAAAGTTATCATAGCTACAAAGCCATGGTTCCATCATTAAAAAAAAATCTGAAAAAACATTTCTCCCATGAATATTATGAAAGGTTTCTTATTTAAACTTTCCATATACAGTTGTAGACGAAAAAGCACCGATTATTAAATGATAATAAAAATAATCAGAGATTATATACGCGCTTTTCTAAAATAAACAACTTGCAACAAAACCGCGGTTAAAACCAACGCGTTCAAGCGATTCGTGTAACTGACGTCATCAACCCGTGCGTCATCTTGAACCATATTATAACCGCGGCACATAACACAGAAATTTTGGTTATTCGCTTGGATTTGATTATATATCCTATGAAAATGCAATGAAGGATGAAGGGCTAGGGTCGTCGATGCTATTGTATTTATTTAAGTATTAATATTTTTGGTTGAAATGTAACGAATGTATACTGATGTCTTCTGAATAAAGAAGGGATATGTGGTCCGGTTTTGAGGAATTAACGAATTCTGAATCATAATGCAATTTTTGCTGTCAAATCCCATCATTTCAACGTATAATTTAACGAGACATCTTAAAACAACACAACCGGGTTCCCTAGATAGTGTCTGTACTGTTACCACGTTTTCAATTCGCAGTTCAGTTGCTGCATACTGCAGACTTGCTTTGCACAATTGAACGAGTCATATGTAACAAAGAGTTGAACGCACATGACTAAACAAAACCCAAAAATTAGTTGACATTAACATTGGGTTTTCGTTTATTGTTTGATACATCAGACATATCACGCATGCTTAGTCATATCGTTTTTGACAACAAGAAACATATTGATCGCACCTTGTAAGTTTTCTTAAAAATGAAAGCATGAAGTGTGACTCTGTTTCTTATACTTCATCTATGATTCTCTAGATGGTGTTCTGTCGTTTGGTTCTGTCATATGTCAACAAAGCGGAAAGGCGGGAATCAAAGGAAAACAAAGTAAATTTAATAGAAATTTTCTTTGTAGGGGCTTAATACAACAAAGGCAAACCAATATTTATTGTAGAAATTATATAGTGCTATATTTAGGCTCCATTATTGATTCAAACGAAAATTTATTGGACGTTTAGCTTGTGTTTTGACAACTAAATTGTAGGTTAAGTGATAGTCACGAAGACGCAATGAATGGTGGCAAAAAAATTCGCCTGTACCTTCAAGCAAAAAAACTCCCGCTAATTTTATTATATTTGGGTTCACTTTGAATCAAATTGCGAGGTTCGGATGGTACTTCCCGCCTTTATCAGTAGACAGGCTTTTTTCCCAATTTGTGAGTTGTATTCCCGCGTTTTGCCATAGTAGGCGTTGTCGTGTGAAAGTGTACTGAATTTTCTCGAGATAGAGCCTCTTGTGTCCCGTGAATTGGAAAAGCCGTCGTGAAAATGGTGCACTCGGAAGAAGCTGAGGAACAGCTTCACAAGAAGCTATTGGAAATCAGCAACAAACTGAATCTGGATCAGAAAACCACAAAGGCTACTTGGGAAAACTTTTACAAGATAAATAAAAACTTTGTCTTGGAGGTAAGCCCGCAGTATTGCGTTTTACAGTGAATTTGCTCAAACACACAACTTATAGGGTGATCCATTACACTGGATAGGCTGTGCAATATATGTAGCATCACAGACTGTTGAAACACCAACATCGCTGTCCACATCAGCATCAACAGTCAAAAGCCATGGGATCAATATCACAAGCTTGCTGAGACACAGCAACCTCAGGTACTATTTATTATTGTTTTTATCAATATTTTGACCTCAATATTATCTTATCTATAACAGTATTGTTCTCTACCAACTTATTTAAAGCATTTAATGTCATTTATACACTCTGGAGAACCATATTCAATATGACATTATTTCTTATTCTTATTGTCATGTGGCTTTTATGTTTATAATCCCCACATATATAATAAAGAATTTTGATCCCTTGTGGTTTGATTAGCTAGATTATTAATTCTTAGCATTTCAACTACAACTAACAAAAAAGTTCCTGTAAAGATAGGTTCTAAAATTTCCAATTATCGAGGTACCGGATGTGATGGCAGATTGGGGATTCGTGGAGCACAAAGTTCTTGTTTGGTTGATGAGGGGGCATTTTGGAAGCATGTGTCCCTTTAAGAATGGGGCCTGCATCATCTTAGATCTGCCTCTGAAAGGGTATTGTGAATATCTGTCTTAATAACGATGAAATATGATTATTACTCGAATCAATCTATGATAAAATGAGATTTTACTCTCAACACACTAAATTCAATTTTGGATATCACTTACTACATCATATTTTTAAAGTAGAAATAATATTGAAACCTATTTGTCTTCAAGAAACATTGCACAATAGTGGCTATTAACTGCGAATTGATTACCTTTTTCAAAAATGCAATATGTGTTTCATAAAATAATTTCCTTTTTTCTTCTGTAGAGATCTACATTTATCAATTTCCTCTTAAAAATATATTTGGTACATGAACCAACAACATTTTTCGGGTGATTGGAAACACTATTTGATGATTTTTCAGCAATGCTCTAAGGGCTCCCGTTACCAAGATATGATCGTTTTTCAATTACCTACAATTAAGCATAAATATTATAAATTTTTTGTTTTTAGAGATAATGGCGCAAAATAAAGTGAGTCTATTCTGTAATGTATACCCAATCAGATCAGATGAACAGTTCATGAAATCTTCTTAAACAACTGATTTCTGACCTATCAAAGTCGTATATCATGTGGTGTGTATAAATAATTTAAATTCGAAATTCCATTATAAAAAAAATCTTTTTTAAACCTAGTTTTACTTACGAAACTGTGATTTATTGCCGGAACAGACTCACGTTTATTTTGTGTCATTATCTCTAGAAACAAAAAAAATATAACGATATTTATGCACTATTTCAGGTAATTCAGCAAAAAAAACCTGTATCTTGACAAGGAAACACTTCAGGACCAATTTTTATCTGAACTTTTTGCGTTATTTTTGGAGCTATATTCTGCTATAGACATTATTGCATTATTTTCTAAGTCTTATTTTATATTCCTGTGTAAATATGAATCCATAGTTACATTATAACACATTAATTTTTTGAGGTATAAATAAGAAGATTTAGCAAAAGGGTCAAAGGATGTAATTGCTTTAATTTCTTCTTAAATGAATAATGAACTATGTTTTGTGGAAAAAAATGTTACAGTTCTATCATAACCCACCCATTTATGTAAATGTTAGAACTTTTTAAAATAGTGGAAAGTTTTCAACTTTATGTAAGAACTTTTCAACAAAAAAATAATATTTTTTTGATTACACGTCAAAAACTTGTTTTTTGTGATGGCCTAAAGCTAACGATACATTATTGCATTTTTTTTTTTTTGTAAAAGATCTTTTAATTTTGGGACTGGAATTTGACCAAAAATTATATTTTATGATTTTAAGATGAGTCTGTAAACAATGTTGGGATAATCATTCAAATAATGTACTGAATAATGGTATGATAGGAATATGTGAAACTTCTTTTAAAAATATGATTCTGATTGTTCAAAGTAAAGTGCATCCAAAATCATTTTTGTTTTTTTTAGATGCCACCTTATAACACACATCATATTCAATAAGCCTTTTGTTTCAGTTTTGTCCAATTTTTCTCAAACATGCTGAAATGGGCGGATATGGCAAGGATGCCTGAAGAATTCACAAACAAGATCATATCCATGAAAAATACTTTCGGGGTATCTCATAACACTTTTAAAGAATATTACCCATTATTTTGTAGAATGTTTGTGCCACCTAGCATTCAGGAATTTGAACAAAAGCAACCTAGAAATAGGAAACAAAAGTGAGTATAAGATGATGGCAACACCAAAAATTATGACTATCAGAGGTTTGAATATGTTCCGTAGCTCCACCGATTTTGAAAATAAATGAGTCTGAATTATCACTCACAATACAGACAAACATTTTATTAACATTTTGGCAATGAGATATTATATTTGTTGTTATATGACATCTAAATCACGTGGATTTACAGACGTCCACGCGATGGTCGAAATTTTCAATGACATTTTGCAACATGGTCGGTTCTATGGCATTTATCTCGGCAATGATGTTGTTTTTGAGTTCTTGGAGGGTAGCTGGTTTGTTGACGTAGACTTTGCTTTTCAAATATCTCCATAAAAAGAAGTCCAAGGGAGTCAAATCGCACGATCTTGGTGGCCATGGCACATTTCCTCTGCGCGAAATCACGCGATCACCGAAGAAGGACTGCAATCGATGGATATTGACGTTGGTTGTGTGGCATGTTGCACCGTCTTGTCGGAAATAAACATCGTCCATATCCATTCCTTCAAGTTGCGGCAAAAAATAGTCCTCTATCATCACGAGATATCGCTCAGAATTGACGGTAACTGCGTCCCCGGCCGCATTTTCGAAAAAGTAAGGTCCGATGATGCCTTTTGACCACAATGCACACCACACAGTCACTTTTAAGCATGCATCTGCTGCTCTTGATACTCACGGGGATTTTCGTTCGTCCAGATGCGGCAGTTTTGCTTGTTTACCGTCCCATTCAAAGTGAAATGCGCTTCGTCGCTGAACATGATTTTTGATGAAAAATTGGCATCAATTTGGCGGTGTCCAAGGAGCCAATCTGAGAACGTTCGGCGCGAAAAATGGTCGGCCCGACGCAGCTCTTGCGTCAATTGGATCTTGTAGACGTGTACATTCAAATCCTTGTGGAGAATGCGGAGCAAACTGGTTCTCGAAATGCCCAATTCTTGGGATCGACGCGTTGTTGATTGTTTCGGATCGCCTCTCACACTCTCCTTCACAACAGCAATATTTTCCGGTGTGCGAACGGTCCTTGGCCGGCCAGAGCCTGGCAGATTTGCCACAGAACCTGTTGCCTCGAATTTACGCACCAGACGACCGATGGTTATTTCGTTTGGGCGGTTGTTGCGACCCAAATGTTCACGAAGCGCGCGAAACGTGTTTTTTATTTTTGCACCATTTTTGTAGTGCTCTTGAATAACTTTAATGCGGTCTTCAATCGAATACGACTCCATAGCGATCAATGGTAAACATTCAACTAACAAAATGTCATGTCGGTGACAGAAAACAAAGATGGCGTCTATGTCAAATTGACGTTTACTTTCCTGCGTCCCTTTCGGACAACCCTATAGTTTAGTACTGACAATAGTTTTTTTTTTGGAACCTAATATCTCAGTTTTAAAGTAAAGAAAACTATCAACTTTAAAGATACCCTTTTTATATTCTACCTCTGTTTTTCAGCTTCTGTTACAAACCAGTGCAATGCAACTCTTCCAAAATATTTGAATTCACCTGGAACCTATTCATCATGCTAAAAATGGAAAACTCGCAGTACAGCACAGACCTTGTAAAATCATATCACCTGCTGCACTGCTGTCTGGACCTGGTATTCAAAAACGCCTTTCTGGCGGAGCGCCGAGACTTGATCAATCCCAACTTCGAATGTTTACCTCCGGACTGGAACAGTCCGCTCTTTCGACTACCGGAAGAAGTTCCTTGCACGATTCCCTTCATGTGCAAATGCTCCACGACATTGACAGATGCCATGCACATGAAAACGTACACCATGAAGTCCTTAATGTCTACGTTGGTGAAGATCAAGGTTCTACAAGTGGAGTCAAGCGATTTTGCTGGATTGTTAAACGGGGATGTGTTTGACATGAATTTTAAGAATTTGACTAATGCTTACGAGTCGCACTTGATGAACAAAGGATGTATAGATGAAAGGATATTCTTAGGTATGCTGGAAGTAATTATAATTGCGAAAGATTTCTAAAATGAGGTGTTTTTCCTATCACCGAAAATATTTATATACTTTTTGACAATATTGGGGTATGTGCATTCTGCGATGCTTTATAAATTAAATCATTAGAATGTCTTGGTAGTTTTCCTATATGACTACTGGCTTTCAAGTTATATCGATTTACCTGAGTTTGACCTTGACCATAACCTCCTAAGGTCAAAATTTAAGAATGGTCAAGACCATACTTTAACGGAGAATTTTCCGTCCTTGCGGGGTCAAAAATTGACCTTCAAATGACTTTGAATGTTTGGGTTAAGGACAAATCCAAGGTCATCATTATATATGCTTGTAACTCAAAACCAGTTGTATTAACCCCAATAACCTTTTAACAAAAAAGCTTGTGGGAATAGGAATCTAAAGAAGTGAGAATAAACAGGGTATTTCTTATGAAAAATTTGCGAAAAATATGGGATCACACAATTTTTCTGTCGAGAAATTTGGTGCTGTAGCTATAAAAGCAGAGGAGCTGCAGGTTGTCAAAGTTCAGAATTTTAGTCAATAAATCGTCAGATACCTGAATAATTTGAAATAAAACCATATAGTATATCGAATAGCTTCATCTGGAAGGACCTATCCAAAACTGCAATAAAACATGGATCTTTCTATTTGGGTCACCACGTAGTTATGAAAAAATAAAAAAATCGTTTCTAACCCTATTTTTCGCAAACAAAAAATTGAAGCGGAACGTTTTTTTCCTGGCACGACCCATATCCTCCAGTTAATCAGGCGTAGGAAGAGTAGAGTCACATCTACTTGACGACATTATTTATAAATCTGAATATATGTAATTTTATCCTTTTCAGCTGAATATAGAAGGCAACTGATAGAGCAACAAAATTTGAATATTTTAAATATAAAAGCATCTCCGTATGTGGCAGGTATGTTTTTTCAAACATTGAACACTATATACATTGTTTAATCCTTGTACTTTTTAGGTGAAAACCCCTCAATGGATTCTCCAAGGGCTGTAAGTATTTTTTTGGGCAAGTAAAAAACCGACTGCTAAAATTATGAAATTAAAAGTAATTAATCAAAAACATGATCATGCTATTATTTGCAGGTTGCACCTCGTGGGTCAGACTCCGCTTTAATAAACAGAGGATTTTCGGGGCCTCGAGAAGGTGACACCTCTCCGTTATCGACAGACAGAATCACAACTCAAAGGATCACTAGACTACATAATCTGATAAACAATCGTTCCCCTGCTCCCAGTGAGACGTTGATGCAATTATTTGAGTGAGTATTATACATTTCTGGACATATAGCCCATTATGACCTTCTCATATTAGGCCAATTACTTGATAAGGAATTGTTTCAGGTCCTGCGATACAGATCCTCTTCCCAAAATACAAAATATCCTGAAAACTATGGGCGACACGTTTATAAACGCGTACTCCCAAATGTGTGGGGAGGACGAAGCAAGAAATAGGCTACAAATTGCCACTACATTGTTTTATAAATTCATAGAGGTTATTTTGAAAAATGAACAGTCTATAAGAAAGGACATATCAGTAAGTTGTGGAACTTTACTAATGTATTTAATACAGTGAAATCTCCTTTGGACGGAAACGACTGAAAGTGTAATAATCGTATTTTTAATGAAAACTGAATACGTTAAACAAACTGGGACATTTAAAAATTATTATATTTTTAATCTAGAAACAAGCTCCAAAGACTCTGTATCTCCCTGATTTCTGACAAAAATTTTGAGCTGCCTGATCAGGGTAATAGTTTTACCATAATTTGGGAGAGATTCTACAATGAATATGTCGTCCACTGTGTCTTTTCAGACTAATACTGGATGGAAATTTAATCGAAAGCGTGTACTGAAAAATAAGAACGGTAAATCCCCGACCAACTCGGGGAAGTCCCTAATTCACGCCAAGCACCACATAGGCTGCGCTTGTACTGAAAGAAAGTCGGTGAATCCCCGGTTCACTAGACAAAAGTCCCAGCGAAGAACAAAAAATAGGACGTGTTTCTTTTTATTTCGTTTTTTGTCCGGTTAGGAGAACATTTTACTCGTGTTCGCGTCCGTTCAATGCAAATTATACTAAGTGACATAATATAAATCCGAACACCCAGTTTAAATGGTTTTATTTTAATAAAAGTTGGTGAATGTATTTATCTTACTGTAAATAACAAGTGAAAAAATGTTCAGCCTTATCAGTTGGACATTCCGGTTTTTATACTGCTTTTTTTTAATTCACTAACGCTCTAAAAATGAATATTTCAGCCGCAGTAAAGAATCAACGTTGGCGGATTTTGGTTCTTGACATCCTTTACGATCGGTTACGATGCCTAGAGTACGGAGACCTGTACGATTTCGTCAACTTAGTGAGTTTGATAGGGGCCGTATAGTGGGACTTCGGGAAGCTGGACTTTCTTTTCGGGCAATTGCAGTTAGACTGCAAAGAAGTGTAGACACTGTGGTTAGGTGTTGTCAGGCATGGCTTCGAGAAGGCCGTACGCAAAGAGCAAGGGGCACTGGACGCCGCCGTAGAACAACAGACCGTGAAGATCGCCGCCTAAGATTATTGGCCTTAAGGGACCGTTTCTCCACTACTAGGTCCATTGCAAATGAATGGTTTGCAGAACACGGAAGACCTATTGGCATGCGAAGTGTTTACCGACGAATGAGAAGTTTTGGCTTGTTTTCATACCGGCCACACTGGGTCCTCCCTTTAACTCGAGAACACCGACGTAATCGCCTTGAGTGGTGCAGACAACGGTCACTCTGGGATCAGGAATGGAACAGTATTGTCTTTAGTGACGAGTCTCGATTTTGTTTAGGCATGCACGATGGCCGTGCCAGCGTTAGAAGGCGACGTGGTGAAAGGAGGAATCCACAGTTTTTTGTTGAAAGACATGTTCATCACACTGTTGGAGTTATGGTTTGGGGTGCTATAGCTTATGGTTCCAGGTCACCTTTAATCTTCATCAGAGGTAACATGAACGCGCAGCGTTATATCCACGAAGTTCTAGAACCCTATCTTGACACCCTGGCAGATCCAACTTTCCAACAAGATAATGCCCGACCACATGTTGCAAAAGTCACAATAGACTTCTTTCAACATAATGATGTCACATTGTTACCATGGCCACCAGGATCTCCCGACTTATCCCCAATTGAGCACGTGTGGGATATGATGGGTAGGAGATTGCTCAATTTGCAACCTCCTCCTCAGACTCCAGAAGCACTTCGAGAGGAGTTGGTGGTTGCCTGGAATGAGATACCACAGGAGGACATTGACCACCTGATCAGAAGCAGGCCTAGACGCGTTGGAGAATGCGTAGCACATCAGGGTGCATCCACACATTATTAAAGGTCAAAGGGCTTTAAAGCAGTGCAATCATTTTGAAATTTTTATCATTTACTTATTATGCTTCATTAAGTACTTATACAAAATTTTATTAAAATAAAACCATTTAAACTGGGTGTTCGGATTTATATGTCACTTAGTATATATAAGAGTCGGTGGGGACGATGAAGGGGAATTTCACTGTATTTATAATGACTACAATTATATTTCAAGTGGATTTTGTTTCAGGGTTTGGTAGAAAAAGATCTCTTTTATCAGTGCATGTTCACTTGCTCTCTACAAGTGATCCTGTTTTCTTACGGAAGCCCGTACGAATTCCCGTGGATTCTGGATATCCTTGACGTGCAACCGATACATTTTGTCAAAGTTATAGAACTTATTGTCAGATCGAAGGAACCGCTGTCTAGAGAGTTGATTCAACATTTGAATAGGGTAAGCCAGTACCATGGTTAGTTATAACAAATTTCTAAATTAGCGTTTGGTGTTGTTTTCCGTGTTAATATTTTGATTTATTTCAGATTGAAGAAACGGTGATTGAAAGCTTGGCGTGGAGATCTGAAAGTCAGTTGTGGGATGCTGTGACTGCGTCAGGTCAAGGGGTTCCAAAATTTGAAGATACCGCTTTGCCGGGCCATCTCATGTACAATGAGAAGAGCAACAAAGCTGCTCAAAATTCGGAATCTCCTAATAACAGTAAGTGAACCTTTTTATACAATGTTTATTGGGGGATTGTTTTCAATTTTCGTTATAGGTATGCAATCACCAAGCCCTTCTGCTACTGACTGTTTTCAGTCTCCAATTAACAGCAAGGCTAGTCGAGAGCTGTTTTCTAGTGATTTGATGCAAAAAACAACTCATATATGTAAGTAAAACATTTTCAGTATGTTTTTCTGAAATATTTTACCGAAGTGCTTTGCTAATATAATCATTATTTTTCTTGTATTTAATTAGATTTGGAGTCCAAAGAAACACAGCTTTCTGTTACAGAGGTGGTGACGCTGCAGAATAATTTATTTATTTTCTCAGGGCTCTACAAAAAAATTAAAACATTAAATTTACCTTACCATTAACTAACAACTTGAACAATAAAGTCGTTGTAAAAGATACTTTTTTTTGTTAAGACAAAATGAGCTATTAAAACACACACATTCCAAAATTTTATCAAAATCACGAAATATTAGCAACATATACAGTAGCGGACAAAAGTTTGGAAACATTCTTAGTGATTTTTAAAAAGTGTGCTAATTTTTGATTCGTTATTATTAAGGACTATTTTTTCTCATATACTTTGCTTACAGTTTTGATGATACAAATGACAATTTGTGTTTGCTGTGATGCTACATACTATACTATAACTATCTAAAACTGTAATGACTCATCGATGTTCACGTGAACATCACTTAACTACCAGTAGTCGGCTGTTCATAGGCGGGGTATGAATGTTTAACATGGGTGAACTAGATTTGTCACATGCTTAATAAAGAGTGGTTTGAAACATATTGTAAGTCAAAAATTTGGGAATTACCTTTATTCATCGTCGCTTCCACTTACATCTGACAGTAATAAACTGTCGCTATCGCTTTCCTCGTTGAAATTGACTATAACTGGCTCTATGATGGTGTCGATGTGGTGGTCAAGCTGCCACATTTTTGTTTCTTCCTTCACAACATGACGGATAGCATTCTGCCAAGCTTCGGGCGTTACTAGCTGTATGGAAGTCTCAAGTAAAACCTTAACGTCTGGTAATTTGAAGGTTGTGTTATGGCGCGCAATATAACCCTTCACTTGAGCCCAGATGAGCTCTATTGGGTTCAGTTCACAGTGGTAGGGCGGTAACCGCAGCACAGTGACACCACATTGACGGGCCATCTCATCAGTCACGTAACTAATATTCGCAGGTTTGTGCTGTTTAATTTTTTCTTACAATTCCGCTTTCACACATGAATCGTCAAACGGGATTCCTTTTTCGCGCAACCATTGCTGCATGTCACTTTTTCGAGATCCCATAGTCGGTACACGTTCGGCTCGACGACTATGGTAGGAAGCATTATCCATGACGATCACAGAGTTGGGCTCAACTCGCTGAAGCACCCCTTGAAACCAGCTCTCGAAGCAGCTGGCATTCATTTCGTCATGGTAATCACCTCCTTTCTTAGAGACGAAAATCAAGTCACACTCTTCTAAAAAACCACTATCGCTACCAATATGAGTTACGATCAATCTTTGATCTTTCCCTGGCGGTCCACGAAGACCTGTTGACAAACCTTCAATGCTTGCTTGTCGGTTACTCACTACGTTTTTGTCTATCCAGGTTTTTTTAACTGTGTGACCTGCATTTACCCATGTCTCGTCCAAATAATAGATTTTTCTGCTTTGTCGCCTATATTCAATCATTTCGCGTAGGTATTTTCGACGCCAGGCGACTATTTCAGGTCTCTCTATCAATACTGACTTCCGATTACGCGTTTCGTAACGAAAATTAATTTCGTGCAGGGATTTCCTCATTACCTCGACGCTCATTTGGGGTATAATTTCATTTTCCTTGATCGCTGCATGTACAGCCTTGAGGGTTGGTGTCTCATTCCTAAAGAAGAATGAATGTACGGTTCGCCTTAACGCCATTTTGCTATCTTCATCCAATTTAACGGCCTTTCGTCCCTTCAAATTAAACTTTGGATCAGTAGTAGCTCCAGTTTTCTTCTTTTCATGCACCACCCTGCGAATGGTCCACTCTGGAACGCCTGTCATACTTTCACAACGCGCGAGTGCATCTCCCTGCGACATAGTTCTGTTCAGATAATTGAACACGTTGAGCACGATTTCTTTCGCGTCCCTCTTCAGTGCTTTACGAAGCCGTCTACTTGTTCCCGGGCTTTCAGTACTTCCACTCGTGCCATTTGTACTCTCCATGGTCAAGTATAACCAAAACAGTAACCACAGAAACCACAACAATAACAATCACACAACAATTCTTATAAAAACACAATATGCGATCGCTCAACGAAACACGTTCCAATGCGTTGCCGACGCCTATGAGTCTGCCGCTCGAGGCGCGTCTTTGATTTCATTGGTTCTACCGGCGGAGAACAATCAGCCATTATTTCCATCTCTGTCTGTGCTGTTGACCACCGCAAAGCCACAGAAACGACATATGTCGTACGCTATACGGCAGTACTGGAACGAAGCCGGGAACGAGCTCTGATCACGTGTTGATCACGCGTATGAGTCATTACAGTTTTAAATAGTTGTAGTATAGCATTAAATTACCTTCATATGTTTCCATCGTCGTATTTAAAAAGCGCGAGTTTTTATTTTCAGAAAATTTTTAATATTGATAAGATAAACCTTGTATGTACGGGAGCCAAAGGTAGACTTTAATATTTATATTATCTGTTCCTTCACAATTTTAATTTAGGTATAAGAAATAGATCGCAATATTGTTAATATTTGGTTACAAACTTTTGTCCGCTACTCTATATTGATGAAAGATAAAATGATTCATGATTATATATATTCACATGAATAAAAAAAAATTTGTTGTGTCTAATTACCAGAAAAAAACAATCAAAAAAGTATGTTTGTTATGTGTATACATCAGGGTGTCTCAGAACTCTTTTGTTTTTGATAACATTTTTGGATGCGTTTTAATAGCTCATTTTATATGTCTCTACTAAAAAAGTAACTTTAGCATCGATGTCATTATTTAAATTGTCAATGGTAATCAAAATTTACTGTCTTGATTTTTTTCAACTATGGGGTTGTCCCAAACGGATGCAGGAAAGTAAACGCATATTAAAACAAGAAAGATTGATATTCAAATCAAGTTGGGTACTTTATTTTGAAGGTTCATTTATACCGTTTATGTATGAAAAATAATATCGCTCAAATGTTCACCACGACTGGATTTGCAGACGTCCACGCGATGGTCGTAATTTTCAATGACATTTTGTAACATAGTCGGTTCTATGGCATTTATCTCGGCAATGATGTTGTTTTTGAGTTCTTGGAGGGTGGCTGGTTTGTTGACGTAGACTTTGCTTTTCAAATATTCCCATAAAAAGAAGACCAAGGGAGTCAAATCGCACGATCTTGGTGGCCATGGCACATTTCCTCTGCGCGAAATTACGCGATCACCGAAGAAGGACTGCAATCGATGGATATTGACGTTGGTTGTGTGGCATGTTGCACCGTCTTGTCGGAAATAAACATCGTCCATATCCATTCCTTCAAGTTGCGGCACAAAAAAGTCCTCTATCATCACGTGATATCGCTCAGAATTGACGGTAACGGCGTCCCCGGCCGCATTTTCGAAAAAGCAAGGTCCGATTATGCCTTTTGATCACAATGCACACCATACAGTCACTTTTTGAGGATGCATCGGCTGCTCTTGATACTCACGGGGATTTTCGTTCGCCCAGATGCGGCAGTTTTGCTTGTTTACCGTCCCATTCAAAATGAAATGCGCTTCGTCGCTGAACATGATTTTTGATGAAAAATTGGCATCAATTTGGCGGTGTTCAAGGAGCCAATCTGAGAACGTTCGGCGCGAAAAATGGTCGGCCCGACGCAGCTCTTGCGTTAATTGGATCTTGTAGGCGTGTACATTCAAATCCTTGAGGAGAATGCGGAGCAAACTGGTTCTCGAAATGCCCAATTCTTGGGATCGACGCGTTGTTGATTGTTTCTGATCGTCTCTCACACTCTCCTTCACAACAGCAATATTTTCCGGTGTGCGAACGCTCCTTGGCCGGCCAGAGCCTGGCAGATTTGCCACAGAACCTGTTGCCTCGAATTTACGCACCAGACGACCGATGGTTGTTTCGTTTGGGCGGTTGTTGCGACCGAAATGTTCACGAAGCGCGCAAAACGTGATTTTTATTTTTGCACCATTTTTGTAGTGATCTTGAATAACTTTAATGCGGTCTTCAATAAAATACGACTCCATAGCGATCAATGGTAAACATTCAACTAACAAAATGACATGTCGGTGACAGAAAACAAAGATGGCGTCTATGTCAAATTGACGTTTACTTTCCTGCGTCCCTATTGGACAACCCTTTATAATGAATTATTCCGAAACCTCGGAAGCTCAACCAAAATTGGAGCATTTTTAAACAATCTTTAGAAAAAAAAATCAAATATTTTTAGACCATATCAAAATCTGTAAAGTGATTTCAACAATGCCTAAACGCTGCCTATCCTAAAAGATTCTCTTCTTCCCCTTTGCTCTCGTTCTTCCTTCTCTCCTTTCCTTCCCCTTTTTTCCTTAAAATTGTCTGGTTTCTGGGTTACCAGACCTGACAGACTTACAAACTGACACTGTGACTCAAGAGCAAAGGTCCCACGGACCGCTCTGACAACCAACGATGACTTGACTGACCTCGGAAGCTTTGTAACTGAAAGCTGAGTTTCTTTGGATCCCGAATTCAACTAAATACAAGAAACCTGTATAAATAAGCGTTATCAGAAGACGAATATAACCGGTATTTTCCATGTCCAGTGATTCAGGATAAAGATGGCGGCAATAAGTTGATTCCAGTGGTTGATAGTGAGAAGAATTCTGTACAGAATAGTGTAAATAGTGAGACTGCAAAAACACCTTCAGCGACCTCAAGTCCAGCTACGCCATCAGCTGTACCAAGAAGGACTGGAAGTTTGTCGATAATTTTCAGAAAGGTACAGCTATTACAATTCAACATTGACCAACATGTAACTCCTTGAACTTATCCTGTGGTTTCCATGTTCATAGTACTCCATTGTCGGGCCGAATCCGTACTACATACGAGGTCTGTAAATTATGTCATGAACTGCGTATATAGATGCCCATTCACTCTCTTAAACGAGCTAGGGAATTTTGAAATGATATTTCCATTGCACCTCAACCAATGCTCATATGCAAGTGAAGTCCACGCTATGAACTTTTTCGTCAAGCTGTTTTGATAGTGTCCCCTGTTGCACGAAGAATAAAAGATGGTCATCTGATTTCAGTTTTACAACTTGGCGGGAGTACGTATGGAGCATCTCTGCTCGAAACTGAGCCTGGCCGATACGGAACTGAAGCAAAAAATATGGACCGTGTTCGAGGATTCCATACGAAACAGTGATCTCATTAAGGATAGGCACTTGGACCAACTGTTGATGTGCGCGATCTACATGATTTGCCGCATCACCAAGATATCTGTCAAATTTCAAGATATCATGAAGTTCTACAGGGAGCAGCCGCAGTGCTCTAGCAAAGTGTACAGAAGTGTGTTGTTCAAAAGAGCTTATGTGCAGGAAGGTATGAATTTATGTATGTACGATAATTTTGATCCACTATTTTGCCTCCGACATTGCCGAATGCGAAATTTGAGGTGTTATATTTTTTCTTGTTCATACAGGTATATAAAACTCTTAGGAATAAATGTGTATATGTAATTAGAGAAGAAAAAAGGAAATTCTACGATAAACAAATCAATAATAACAAGTGCGACAGTGTGAAGATGTGGAAGACTTTAAAAAGACCGATCAATTCGAAGCCGCATGATTGTGTAAATCAAGTTCAATTCGAAAACGGTACCGAAACAAATTCTTTGGTGATTGCAAACAAACTAAATGATGAATATTTTGTGGAAAGTATTGTTGATATTGTGGGTACTACCGACGCTGCACCTGACTATATGAAAATCAGTTTCCAGGGGGAAATGTTGCATACACTTCCAAAATTTCACTGCGTATCATCTAAGAAAAAAAGTAAACAGTTTAAAATCAAATAACAACTGTGCCGAAATCACTACTAAAAACGTGCTGAAAAACTGTTTCGAAATTTTGGGATATCCTGTATTAAATTGGATCAATTGTTCACTGAGAAGCAGTTCTTTTCCTGAAAATTTGAAATGCTCTACAATAACACCAGTTCCCAAAATAAAAAATTCTAAAAGATGCTGCGATATGAGACCAGTAAACGTGTTACCAGACATTGAAAAATTATTAGAGTCCATAGTGCATGACCAATTAATGCAGTTTATAGAAGAAAACAAAATTTTAGTGGAGGCGCAAGCAGGCTTTCGAAAAAAATATTCCACAGAAACAGCTTTCCAGTTGGCAACTGAGAATTGGAGAAGAGCCATAGACTCAGAAGAAGTTGTCATAGCAGTATTTTTGGATTTGAAGAGGGCATTTGAAACGATTGATAGAGATATTTTGTTAGGTAAACTGAAGGCATATGATATAACTAAAAGGATGCAAGTTACAAAAGTTAATAACACTATTTCATCAAAAATTGAAAATACGTTGGGTGTTCCACAGGGCAGTATCCTGGGACCACTTCTTTTTATTTTATACATAAGTGATTTACCTGCCATAGTCAAAAAATGCAAAATTCAGATTTTCGCCGATGACACTATGATTTATATAAGTACTAAAAATATTCAGTCTGGTATCTCTTATATACATGAAGACTTGAAGCTTGTCTCAAAATGGTTAGCATCTAACAGACTAAAATTAAATGCAAGTAAAACGAAAGCCTTGTTAATCGGAAAAAAACAATGTACAAATGTTCAACTAAATATTGATGGTGAAAATATTGAATTCGTAGAAAATTTTAAATACCTGGGGGTTTTTGTTGTTGACTCTCGATTGATTTATTATGAAAAAGTTATAAATAAGATTAGTAGTAAAGTGGGATATTTATCGAGATTTTCTGGATGTCTGAGTTCATATAGCAGAAAAATTATCCATAATACCATCATTCTTCCAAATTTCTTGTACTGTTCGACTATTCTATATTTAGCAAATAATTCCATTTTTGAAAGACTGCAAATTTTACAAAATAAGTGCATGAGAATAATACTAAATAAAGATAAATATACTCCAATTAGGCAAATGCTTAGCAAATTAAAATGGCTCAATGTAAAAAATTTTATCAAATATCTTGTAATGATATTCATTTATAAAGTAAAAAATAATATATTTCCATCAAGTCTAACTAACTTAACATCATCAAATGCCGACCATCATTTAAATAATATCAGAAATAAAGATGACTTCCATTTAATGACCAAAAAGTATAACATATGCTACAAATCTGTATTCCATCAAGGGTTGATTGAATATAATAAATTATACTCGGAGATAAAAGACCAGAAAACTTTGACAAAACTTAAAGTAAAATTGAGAAATCACTTGTTAAATCTACAATTATAGGTTGTAGGTAGTTCTAAGTTGTTTACAATTATTCTGTTTATGTAGCCAAATGTGCTATATAAATTTTTCTACTACTACTACTACATGAAGCTGAGAAATAGATAGCACCTTTTTCGCCATAAGTTTTATGCGAGGATTGAGAAATTGTATTTTTTTCAGATGGCACAGTAGTTCCAGAAGTAAGAAATGATCTCATTAATTTTTATAATTCCGTTTACGTGGATGTTATGCAGAAGTTTGCTGTAAAATTCAGAAATTCATCACAGGTAAGTCGACAGTGGACAAAGAAATCTGAACCGCCATTACTTGATATGTCGTCTCTCGTTCTAAAATACAGGGTGTAAACGATATGATAGTCATTATTTAAATGGGTGATAGAAGGGGTTAAAAGAGGCAAAAAGTTTCATATAACATGGGGGTCAAAACGGCATTTTTTTAGAGAAAAGCGACTTTAAAGTAAAATAAAATAAAAAAAAAACGGACTCACCACTAACTGTATTTATATGTATATTTTTCAAAAATCCCCTTAAAAAAAGTCAGAAGCCGTTAAATCCGGTGATCTTTGTGGCCAGTTGACATCACCAAATCGAGAAATTAAACGTCCCGGAAATATTGTTCGCAAAAGATTCATTGTTTCCCTAACTGTGTGACAAGTCGCACAGTGACGTGTGACGGATACCCAGTTCTTGAGAACGATGTCTGGTAGACGTCTCGGGGCGCTCCACGACACTTTCACGAACTCTCTTGATATTTTCCGGAGTACGAACAGTTCGAACACGGCCCCACCCTGGCAAGTCTTTAACTTTACCTGTTTCTTCAAATTTCCGCGCCAACTGACGAATTCAAGTAAAACGTTTTAACAATACGGACGCGTTGTGGGATCGTGTAGCGCTCCATGATGAATTGGACACAAGTGCTTTAAACAACTAATACGGCGCCACCCACTGAAATGCATGCATCAAAAATTGCGGGCAATTTAAATAAATTAGTTATATATTCGCCACCCTGTACATACTTACACACGTTCTCATTTACAATTTTAGTAGGCAAGTAGGGATTTATGCATACGTCTTTTACATATGGATTAAAGTGCCAATCTATTCTTAAATGTTTTATCGAAATTCTGTAATATTCACGTACTTTTTTAATTTCAGAATAATTTGTTGCTGAGCCCATTACCGGCGATAAAAAGAGATCTGGTATCGGCCAGCATTCAAGTGGTAGGAAACGTGTTCGTGAAACCTTTGGAGAGCCCATCCACTGGCTCAGGTCAATGCGTCAACTATTTCTTCAGCAGAAGTCCATCAAAGGTAAAATTTGTGCACTTTTTTAATATCTTCGAGTCTTTTCTGATTATTTTAACTGACCGTCTCGGCTTAGGAAGATTCGAGGATTGTCTCAAAAATAGGTTTTTTCAGCCACAAGGAATTTTTTATTTGAAAAAACGAATTTACCATTAAAAACGTTGATCTCTAAAGCAGCGTTCTCACGGGTCGATTTTAGTAGAACGATTTTTATTGAACAAAAATCGAATAAAAATACACTGTTTTCGATTTTAGTTGAACCGAAAAAGTTTGAGCCACTCGAAACTTATCGATCAATTTAATGCGTCATAGGCGATTTTCAGACAAGTTGAAACGGATTTGAAGCGTGTGAACTGTAGTCAGTCGAGTTTCGCATTGAATAAAGTTGATTTTGTGGCTCGTGTACTTGTTGTGTGTGGAAAAAACACAAAAAATGAGCATGAAGTGTCTGAAAGTATTGTGCTACATTTTTTGGATTTATATCAACAGCATGACTGTGTGTGTGTTGTGGGAAAAGTGCACTTCTTTGTTCATTTTGGGGCGCTGAATCGAAAAATGACAATGAAATAAAAAAATTAGTTGCGGTTTAGAAAAAAAACTTTTTATTTTTAAGGATATATTAAAAAAAGTAACAAGATTCATATACTTATAAGAATCACTATATGCGCTGTCTTTTTGCTGTTCTTTTATGGATCGTTTCTGTAGCATCTCTACCAAGAGTCCAACAGTAGTCTGCAAGCATGGAAGGATTCCATTTTCCCTGGTACCTTTTTTCCATTGTTGAAATATCCTGATGAAAACGTTCGCCGTGCTCATCACTTACGGCTCCGCAATTGTCAGGAAAAAAGTCCAGGTGTGAGTGTAGGAAATGTATCTTAAGAGACATATTACAGCCCATCTTTTGATACGATGACAGAGTATCTTTGACAAGGGTTTTATAGTTGTCAGCTTTTCTATTTCCCAAGAAATTAGTGACCACCAGACGGAAATCATTCCAAGCAGTTTTTTCAATACCTGTTAGAGTGTTTTCAAACTGTGTATCTTTCAAAATATTTCGAATCTGTGGCCCAACAAAAATACCTTCTTTAACCTTTGCCTCACTTAGTCTTGGAAATTTCTGACGCAGGTATTGAAAAGCTGACCCATCTCTATCTAATGCCTTGACAAAGTTTTTCATTAGGTCCAACTTGATATGCAGTGGTGTTAATAAAATTTTTTTCGAATCTACTAATGGCATATGCTGTACATTTTTTTGACCTGGCTCTAGGAATTGACGAACAGGCCAGTTTTGTCTGGTGTAATGAAGTGCCTTTGCCCGACTGTCCCATTCACACAAAAAAGAGCAAAACTTTGTGTAGCCTAGCTGCAGCCCAAGTAAAAGTGCAACAACTTTCAAATCGCCACAAATATGCCATTGATGCTCATCGTATTTTATGCATGTCAATAGGTACTTCATATTGTCATATGATTCTTTCATGTGAACTGCATACCCTACAGGAAGAGATGGTAAAATATTTCCAATATGCAATAACACTGCCTTTAATCTCAATGTTGAACTGTCTATAAACAATCTCCATTCTTCTGGGTTATAGTTTATATTTAAAGCCGCCAGTAAGCCGATAATGTTACTGCAGAAAACCAAGTTATTCTCCATATTGAAAAATGGTTCTAAGTCTTTGTGGCGTTTACGAAAAACACATACCGAAACATCGTCTTCTAACAAGTTCCACTGCTGCAGTCTTGATCCAAGTAACTCTGCCTTACATTTTGGAAGTTCTAAATCTCTTACAAGATCATTTAATTCTGACTGTGTTATTTTGTGCGGTTGGTGGCATGACGTGCTCGGTATAAAATCAGGATCTCTTGACGTTGATGGCATATCTTCTTCCTGACGAATCACTCGATCGCCATGATCTGATTCGCAAGTGTAGGATTCTGGGGGTTTTGGAATAGGATTTTCGTCATTGTGAGGCACAGGTCTCATCGCAGATGGTATGTTTGGGTAGTTAATAACCGTTTTTTTTTTCTTGGACATACCTGTGGCTTGTCCAACACAAGGTACCATGCAAAAGTAACAATCATTAATATGATTTGTAGGCTCTCTCCAAACCATTGGGACAGCAAAGCGCATAGACCGTTTTTTGCCATTTAACCAGCTCCTCAGGCTTGAAGCACATGTATTACAACAGATGTGGGGTGCCCACTGTTTGTCTTGATCACCTAGTTTACAACCGAAATAAAGCTGATATGCATTTGTTATTAGTGGAGTAATAGACCGTCTCTGAGACGCAAAAGTCACATCACCACACACGTAACAAAACTGATCTGGATTGTTTACACACTTTCGAGAAATCTTGCATGAACGCTGTCAGCCAACTGAGGAAAAAATGGCTAACATAAAACAATATAATGTACACGTATGTATAACGTAACACATTCATGCCGATTACATCATCTTTCCTTGCCGAATATAAAAATGTAGCACGTGCATTCTTGTGAATTACAGTATATTAACACTGTCACAGCAGGAACACATAATTACCGTATCTCTAAAACTTGAACTAATATTGAAAAAATAAGTTTCATTCCGGTTTTAGCACATTCAAGATAGTAATATTTTGTTGATTTTATTTAGGATATTTTTTGGTTGTTGATCAGTGCTATCATCGCAAAAGAAATGGAGACAGTAGATCTTCTTATAATGGTATCTTGTTTTTGTATTTTGCTTTTTATCTTTAGAAGAAGTCGTTGAAATTGTTCTTCGGACATTCCCAAATGAATCTTGTAGGCATCCTTGTCCTCTAAAGCCAGCTCCTTGAGCATTGTTCCTGAAACGCCCAATTTATTTCTTCGCAATATCCAAGTCCTGACCCAAAACCGACGTTTTCTAGATTTTCTGTCAAATTTTGACAAAATGTCTCTGATTTCTTCATTTAATAATTCGTAAATAGCTGCTATGCCTACTTGGACAACTTCGTTGGCAGCCATTTTAGAAACGACTAGCGCATCAACTTTTATTATGTGTGTGAACAAATATTCGTGAGAACGCTGCTTAAGCTATTGTTCTACATAGTCGCCATTTTTTTTACGCATTACATGAATATATATTTTGACAGGACTTGAAGGATATCAACAGGCTGGTGAACAACACTCGAGTGACAGGTAAACGTCTGCTCGTGGATTGCGACTCTGATATCCCCGCAAACAAACGCATATCCAATCGAAAACTACAGTCTTTAGTCGAAGAGAGGCGAAGTCAGAATTCGGAATAACTTTTTAAAAAACTGATCCTATTTTTAGTTTAGTGATTGGACCCTCCTTCGTCGCACTGTAAATATCGAGATAGATGAATTGCGGGTGTAGTGATATTTATTCGAAACATGCTGATTGATCCATGAAAATTATCATTGAAACAATATCCACAACTATTGATTTACAATACAGGCAACCTAATGCTATATTCCGGCGTTAAAAAAAATTATCTGAGATACTGTAGAATCACCTACGACCATACAGTTCTCCATCCGCCAAAACCAGCTCTGCCAAGTTTCACCAGGTCATCATCGCTAGAAAACCGTTTTCCTGTAGTGGTCAAACACTCGGTGCAGGCTTTGACGTGGTGAACTGGGGCGTGGTCATGGTGGAGGTACCAAGTGTCATAGCTCTATGACTTTAGGCAGGCACTGTTCCATATACCACTTAGCTGTGACTGTCTTCTGTGTGTCCAAAACAACACGCTCCACAATGTGTAGTAGGTAACCTTTTCAAAGTATACACATATACAGGGTGTCCGCAAAGTTTGTGTTTTCCTTTTCAGAAACAACTACCTTTGAAATAACAAAGGTAATGTGTAGTGAAACGAGGGCGACCAAGTAAAAAAAATAAAGGAAAAAGTACTCACTCTGTAAACTATTCCAGGTGTTGAATATGCGGTTGGGAAGAAACCACTGTCGGACTGTTGTTTTAAATGGCTCCTTATGCAGTATATGGCACTAAGAAAAATTGCGTATGTTTTCAAGATCTACACGTCGTGTAAAGGAAAACCCCAACTTTGCGGACACCCTGTATTTAATAGAGAAACAGCTATGAAAACTTGTCATAGATGGCGCTGAGGTATCTAATTTTTTGTGCGGAAATAAAGCATCAAGTTGCGTAAATCCAACATGCCACAACATTACGCTTAACGCTTTTTTATATTCTGACTGCAAAGTGATCGATTTTCTTTGTACTTTCATGAAGGATGCAGGGGCAAGTGAGACGATAGTAAAGTTGCACACTTATAAAACTATACTGCATCGTCAGACTCTGTGCGAAAGTGCGGAATATAGAATTTTTCTTAAACATAGAACACAAGTTTAAGAGGTGATTGTTTGGACTATTCTAAAAATATTTGGCACTTGCACCATATGTATTTATTTCTAGAAAATCGTTGATCACAAATTTCAGTCACCCAAGCAGTGTTCTCTTGCTTTTTATGTCGGTTGATGATTAAGTATTTTTCGCGAGTATCCATTACGTGAAACATGACAGCTGATGATCTAGTAACATTTCAAAATACCCCATATCAACGAGTGACACACAACTTTGTCGGATCTGTCAATACTTCATCTACAGACAGAGTTGTATTTAGTCGAATCATATTAGCAAATTTCCCCGTAATAATTGTAAAGTCTGCTTTTATCGGTGCTTGTTCAAGGTGGTACTTAAAACATCGACGCATAAAATGGGTACACCCATTTTGGGAGAATTTTTGATTTGACAACAGAGAATGAGAAAACGTGTCTTTTGGGATTCAATCGAAAGTGATGACAGGAACGAAAAAACTTTTCATATAAGATTTTTAGATATTTGTGAGACCTACAAAATAAGACCTCACGTAGAAAGATCCGACTAATAGCAAAAATGTTATGGCCGAAAAACGAGGCAAAATGCAGGTTTTGGCACTTGTTGGTAATGCGACGAATATTTCACGCAACTACTTGAAATTCTTCAAACCCGTAGGATTCATACTTCAATAACAAAACTGGATTATATTGGTCAAGTAGTTTTTTTAGAGTCTCTAATTGTTTATCCCAAAACACCTGTTTTCCAGCCATCAGTACTAGTTTATTAAGCAATATACACGTGTTTACCTTGCCGATATGAATCACAAACCATTCCGAAAGATAAATGGTATTTTTATGCGAAAAACAAAGAGGTTACGTTTTTTTTTCATCTAAACATTTCGTGTTTGTGAGTAATTGAACAAATGCGCTAAGATGTGTCCTTCATCTTTTGTCGCGAATTACTCACGAATACGAAATGTTTGAGTTTGTTTAGAAGGAAAAACGCAACGCATCCTTTTTTGCATAAAAATAACATTTACCTTCCGGAATGGTTCGCGATTAATATCGGCAAAGTAAACTAGTGTATTTTTCTATAAAGTGCCCTTTGAACTAACCCTGTATACTCAATAAACTAGTAGTGATGGCCAGAAAACAGGTGTTTTGAGATAAACAATCAGAAATTCTCAAAAACTACTTGATCAATCTACTCCAATTTTGTTGTGGTTATTGAGAAGTACAAATGCTACGAATTTGAAGAATTTCAAATATCTGCGAGAAGCCATCGTCGCATTACCAACAAGTGCCAAAACCTGCACCTTGCCTCAGTTTTATAAATACCTAAGAATCTTATATGAAGAGTTTTTTCGTTGCTGCCAACATTTTCGATTGAATCTCAAAAAAAAACCCGTTTTTTGTTGAATAAAAAGTTTTCCCACAAAAATTGGTGTACCCATTTTAATAATAAATATCCTTTATTTCAAAATAACAGTGCGCAATTACAACGTAATGTCCGCTGTCAGGCGAAATATACGACACAAAATGCCATAATAGCAAACAAATGCAAGAAACAAAAATAGTGTCTAAATATTACAATATCACACAATGTTTGTTTCACATTTCTAGATATTCATCGAGCCCATATGGCTCTAGATTTATTAGTAACTTGTGAATACATTTCTGAAACTCTTTTATATTCGACAACTTTTTAACTTCCTGGAGTAACTTATTGTAAAGCTTTGCACATCTGTAAAGTACGTTTTTTTCGGTAACAGTTAGATGATGAATTGGGCACAAAAGAGTTATATCTCTGTTCGTTGTATTGTAATTGCCTGGGATTCTTATAAAGTACCCAATATTTTTAAATGTAAAAATCAATATTTCCTGAATATATATTGCCATTTTATTCACTTTAAATTTTCCTCTACATGTTTCTCTACGCGGATTTTTTAACATGCATCTCACTGCTCGTTTCTGTACCCGAAAGAGCCTGCGTCCGTTTTGAATACCCCCTTGAACAACTTGCAGCAATAAAACCAGACTTTACAATTATTTCGCAAACCAGGGGTATTTTCGTCTAATAAGATCAGGCTAATGGATTAATACTTCCTAATAATGCTTGTATTTAGAAAAGTACCTTCACACAGAGGAAAAAAAACGCTACAAACAAAACGGCTGCTAATGATCGTGACCGTATTTCAGGTCAGATAGGAATAAAGCAACAGTTTTTGACTACCTTTGGTATGAACAGTTCTCTGCTTATGATTACGTATACTTTAATGTCACTTACTGATCAGCTGTTCGCCTTAGTAGACGTCAAAACGTAATCGATACTCGTGAAAATGACCATATGATTTCAGTTGCGCGATTTACCAGGTTTTGGTAGTAATATAGTGATTGTATCAAGTAATTCTTTTAATATCATATTGGAGATTCATATCTATTTTTGCAATTTAGTATCAGAGAAATATAGATATATAGATATTGATATTAGCTTTTATACGGCTCGGTTTAGTAGGCGGATTCTTATTAATTTTGTCAGGAGATACCTGAAAAAATGTTTGTTTATATCATATTAGGAAAGAATCCGTCAATTGTTTTTTACTATTGTGATTAGTGATCAATATAAAGGTAAATTATTGTTTGATTTTTGATGTTATATAAAACGATCGCAGTGTATTATTATGAACTGATAATAAACAATAACTAGTGATTTGTTTGGAGTATTTATTGTTCATTCCATCCCTTATTCAAAATCAGCAACAAAACGTGCTCTAATTCCACTAGAACGACTCGAGAGGCTTTTGATTATTTTTCTAGCTGATACAAACGATGCCTGAGAATATGGGGCGATTTTGAACATTCAAAATTTGTAAGTGAAGAAAAAATAATTATTAACTCTGTTATCGGGAGATGGTACACCTTTTCAAATTAAATGTAACGGCAATAATACAGGGTGGGCCATAAAGGTGTTGGCAATTTCAATATTCAATTAAATAATAACTACGCAATATAAAAGAAAAATAAAGGTATTTTTAAAAAGTAGAAAGATAGGAATTTTTAAGACTTAAAAATAATGTTGTTCAAACGACTTCCTGCGGCTGCTTGGCACTCTTGAAACCGAAGCTGCAGACTTTGTTAAACTCGTTGAAAAGTTCATTCTTTTGATGTCCAAAGCCTGACTTCTCTTGGGATTTCGCTAAACTGAAACATTGTCGGCTGATCTTGCAGAAACTGGACGACCACGAGCTGTTATTGCTACTGTCGAGCCGGTTGTTTCGAACATTCTGATCCAATTCCGTAAAACATTAGCGCTTGGAACTTCTCTTAAATCGCGAAAACCGTAGTATTCAGGTTGATACAATGCACGCTACGCTCCCGTGTACGGCTCCATGGCGACTAAATTTCCAGGCAACGGCGCGGCTAACAACTTATCCTTCCCCCGCACCACGCGTTCCCCAGAAATTTAAGATTTAAATCGCCAACACCCTTATGGCCCACCCTGTACATTTATGACTTTCGAATCTCTTTGATAAATGACTGTTGCAATTATGTAATGGATACAAACGGATGAAAAATCGCCACACCCGGCAAACCTGAATCTGTAAGCGCATCGACGATGGCCCGGAAATAAGAGGATCGTGTAAGTATGGTTGCCTATACGTTCAACTTGACGCAAATGGTGATTCTGCGTTTTTCGGCTTGGCAGCACTGCATGTCCGTTAGTGCATTATTGGAAATTGGGCCTCTTATGTGTTCTGTGATTAAAGTAGTTGATTGAAAATGCAGACAAAACTGTTTCGCGCTCCATTAACGCTACGAGCAAATTTGTTAAAAATACTTTTTGTCGGACAAAATCAGAGGAAAGCGGTTTCATCTGATTGAAAGGGGATGTAAGGACGCATCATGTTTATCTAACCGTATATATATAAATGGGAAAATAATGGGCAAAATCCGCAAAAAGAAGGAAAGTGGATTCGAGCAGAAAATAGGATAGGTAACCCGAGCGATACGTATTTCTGCTGGTTGGCTTCATCACGCGTGCCGGCCGACTGGCCTGATAATGCGGAAGTTATCAGTGAAAAAAGATGAAATCTCGAAGGAATTTTCAATAGTCGATAGTTTTAAAATCTCCAAATTTCTTCCAAAATCAATCAACGTTTAATTAAAAAAACCTTTCAAAATGATTTGCCATTTAATAATAAAATAATTCCGTCCTAATCGAACCTCGTCAGTCCAGTTTTTTATTCGACTATGTGTTCCCTTCACTGTTGTTTAAAAACTATTTCAGCAACAATCTCGCCGACTTACTCCAGACGATGAAGACATAGATCTTCGAAAGCTTGAGAGTTTAAGTTGTGAGAGTGTACTTTTGCAATACTTTGCCTTCTACCAAAAGAAATTAAAGGATATCTTCTCCTAACAGTCGAGGCAATTAACTATGAATAATATATATATATATAGACGTATATATATATATATAACTTGAGACGTGGTCATTGTCGTCTAGACCAGTTAGGTGAAAAATTAAAGCTTCCGCCTCTTGTTGGGTACTTCGACAAAATTTATACTTTTTTTAATTCTCTCTAGCTTTCAATGGACTTTGCCATCATCATCAGGAGCTGCAATTACAATGATAACAGTAGCAACAAAAGTGTAAAATGAATTTAAATTGACTCAACTTACAGTAGTATGTGAGGATGTTGCTAATTGTTGTTTACGTATAGGATGAGGGAAACGTCCAGTAACATGGTGAGAGCTGGATACATGGTACAATGGTCAAAATTATATAAAATATGACAAGACAAGTTAAAAATTATTTAAAAAGCATTAGAGCATTACGTCGTGAAGCCACTTGATGATTGCACATAATGGTGGTCATGGAATAATGAGTGAGATGAACCTTTGATAGAAGGCCGTAGGTTGTCAATGTCTGTGTTGAAAGATGGAACGAATTGTGGGCGTGTGCCAAAACGTCGCCAAATCACTTCAGATGATGTGATTTTCAGAATGTTATGTAAGAAATTGTTAAACCGACCAGAGGCAGTTGAATAAACTATATTTTAATTAATGGGAATTTTAAATTAACAATTATTAATAAATCGTGAGAAGAGAATTATTAGATTTTGAGTGGAATGAAATTTGTTGGTGGAATCAGCCAAAACACAGATTATATTTATGGTTTTTAAATAATTTTTAATCTGTTTTTAACTTGTCTTGTCATATTTTATATAATTTTGACCATTGTACCATGTATCCAGCTCTCACCATGTTACTGGACGTTTCCCTCATCCTATACGTAAACAACAATTAGCAACATCCTCACATACTACTGTAAGTTGAGTCAATTTAAATTCATTTTACACTTTTGTTGCTACTGTTATCATTGTAATTGCAGCTCCTGATGATGATGGCAAAGTCCATTGAAAGCTAGAGAGAATTAAAAAAGTATAAAGAGTCCTCTTTGCTTAAATTTTGTCGAAGTACCCAACAAAAGGCGGAAGCTTTAATTTTTCACCTATATATATATATATATATATATATATATACACGAGGTTTATCTGGGAAATACGTAGAAAAAATTCGGGGCGTTACGGAGGGATGGCCCGGTGGTTCCCTCTCTCTATACAATCCCCCCTACGCTCAGTTCGAATCGGAGTGCTCTGCGAGTAAGTAGGTTTTACGTGTGCTTGACGGAAGTAACTGTTTTTTTTACCTGCCGTCCGCATGGAGCTCTCTCTGATCGAGGAACAACCGTCAACAAGTGGTTGAAAAGGTTTCGGGAAGGCCTAGAAGACGTGTAAGATGACCAACGCTCAGGACGCCCCTCCACATCGAGATCTGAGGGAAATGTTGAACGAATTTGGGGCTGTGTTCTTAAACACCGTCGATTGACAGAATGATAGCTGACGAACTGTCAATCCCCAAATCGTCCACAGAAAAACTTGATATGAAAAAATTGTGCGCGAAAATCGTTCCGAAGCTTTTGACTACAGAACAGAAAGCAATGAGGGTTGGTTGAGCGCAGGGGGACTTTCTCAACCGGGTCATTACTGGAGACGAGGCTTGGTTCTACTAATTGGCAACACGGCAAATGAAGAGTCTCGCAATTATTGAAGACTTTCAGCGATCTGGAGACCGCGTTGGCAGAAGTGCATCTTGTCTCAGGGGGAGTACTTTGAAGATCATATTGAAATACCTGAACAATTGTAAAATAAAGTTATTACTCCACTTTTATACGCATTTTCCGGACGATCTGTAAAGCACGTTTTGATTCCGGCCCCTGAAGGAGACGTCGTTGGAAATAGGTTTTTCTTGAATAAATTTCACATATCGTTTTAACATCGCATAATCAAACAATGGCGCCATCAAAATATGCGTGTCATTCTAGATCCGCCCTTGGTATCTAATGTACTATTTCGTTTGTGGTAAGGAAGAACTGATAGGAAGTGGCGTGAAAATAAATGAAACAACTTAGAATTATACAGATTGATAATACAGGCATCCAAACAATATGCAATAGCGTTAACACATCAGTCTTACATGTACATATATATTATATTTAAGCAATTAATAGCAACTAATATAGGTATTTTTTATAGCGTAACTGTAAGATTATAAATTGCAGCTTTAACAAATACAGCATCATAGAAGTTTACATACTCCTTATATTAAAATATACTCCACAAAAAAATTTACAATCACTCTTAACACATTTTTAGGCGTCTGCGAAGAGCGTTTTCTTAAAATTACGTCTAGCTACGGGAGTGGCTTAAATATTCGACTTGTGAGCAAAGAATCGATTTCACAGGCCGACAAAAATGAGCCAGAAACCAAAGTATACTTTCTAGAAGATTTTTGATAACCTCAATCGGAATCCACCGCCCAAAACTCTCAGTCGGGATTACTTTCAGAGATGTCCTAACCTTGAGCGATTTTTGTATTTTAAGTTATGTAGCATGAGGATTTTTCCCAAAATCTCGAAATACAAGCTTTGCCCTTTCAAATGCGGTTGAGCTTACCTTGAATATCTTTTTATTTCGCTGAGATATGGTACTTCAAAGTTTTCATGTTTTGAACTTTACTATGTTTAACTGTATCTACAAAGCTTAGCTTCCATCAGAAGAAAGTATTTCTTCGTTAAAAAAGTTGTTCACTCGAAAGTAAGAACGTTAAACTCGGCCTTGATAGTGTAGGAGGGGTTGTGGGCATAAGATCAAATCAAGGCATCGAACACAATTTGCCAAAAAGTTCGACCGCACAGTTGCGGGGATCACCCATCAGTGAAATTGGCCATAATATTCAAGGTCAAAACAAAATTGTCACATAAACCTGTCAGTTTTGCACTTCCCATTTTCAGTATAAAAATCCTTTGGAAATGTTGACTTGACCTTGAAGGTCATCATCAAGGTCACACTTGACGGATCTATCTGAAAACGTTCACTTGACCTTGAAACGACCCTCAATTTCATGCTTAGGGTCATCAATTCCAAACTTAATCTTCACGGTTATGAGGTTTGTGGGATCACCCAAAGGTGACCTTGACCATGACCTCGGCCATATAAATCGTCGAAATTTACAAAGACGTAAAGTTTCCTACTCATATTTCCAGTGAAAAAATGAAATGTTTCCTTTAGAAACGTTGACTTGACCCTGAAGATCAAGGTCAAGGTCACATTTAGGTTATCCCTCGCAACTGATTAGACCTTGTGATGCCCTTCAAGGAAATAGACAAGGTCATGGTGATGTCATATTTTGACGTAAAACTTCCTTCTCTTTTCAATTCCGATGTTAAAAACGTTAGCTTGATCTTGAAATCTTCTTCAATATGACGGTCAATGTCATTATCAAGGTCATCATTTAAGCCCCTCAAAACCAATGATAAATTTAAAGTGCCATATCTCAGCGAAAAAAAAGATATTTAAAAAACTCAAAGGCATTTGAAAGGGCAAGGCTTGTACTTTGAGATGATATCTATGATTTTTTTTTACATAACCAATAATCGGATTCAGATTCAGGGCATCAAATATCTCTCGTTTCTGGCTAAAAAATCTTGTCGGCCTGTGTTTTTGACAGCACCGGTCGCATCTGATAGAAAAGTGAGTGTAAAATTTTCATCAGAAAACTTGATATGCTTCCAAATGTTAAAAAAATAGCAATAGCAAAAATACAAGGGCGAAGATTCATCCAAACTACTTATTTGTCCTTGATTGAACTATTGAGTGAAAAAACTAATTATGGAAAAATATGTTTTTCGTTCTGTTAAAAACGCTACCTAATTACCACGTTTGATGTTTTGGTCTGATACACACAGATATGTGCCGTTATAGTACAAAAATAAGCTAGATTGGAATCATTAGATACACGATACACGAAAAAGCACCATTAGAAATATGAAACGCAAAGACAGGGACGAAAATTACGAAACAGTGTAAAAAAATATAAGTAAAATCATTGGTCTCAAAATGTTTTGACTAATCCTCTATATGTATACTATTAGGTACAGGGTGTCCCGCTATAAATTGATCCCCTCTAACTTTTGTTTTTATATACAAGGTATCCCGAAAAAGTAGAATTCTTTCAAATGGAACAAACACCCTGTACATTTTTCGTGACAATGATAGTCGCTTTTTTTCGTCGAAAACTTGATTTTTCACTAAAAATATACAGGGTGTTCCTTTGAAAAAATAAAAATTTATTCGATAGCACTTTTCTGTGACACCGTGTATATAAAAAAGACATTGCCGCAAAAACTTTATATTAGGCTCTAAAAATCTTGTATATAACTTTTTTTCTCAAAATTCATGCTAAGAAGTTGAGAGGGGTCAATTTATAGTGGGACACCTCGTACTTACGCTACAGTATGGCAACATTTTGCAAATTCGTCTCCAAATTGACAACTTGGCAACGCCGCATCGAAATCGAACCCTCCCCCAAATATCGGCAGGCGATGTGGATGATTGTTACTAACACACGACGTTATGAAATCGTCCAATACAAATTACAAGCTCAGATATACGCGAAGAGCTGGCAACGTTGCGTGAGGCTTCATGCACAACCTCATACAAAAATGGCGCCTGGACAATGACATAAGTCAAATCGTCCTATGGATAACACGGGACTTACCTTCTTCAGTGTATATGTTTTGTGACGCTCTCTTTTTAACACACGTATTGCATGGCGTTGCAGTTTCTCTCTCTCTCGTACACGTTGAAAGCGGCGCCAAAAGACGTAAATGAATTTCAGTGTATATCAAAACGTTCTAAATTACCGCTTAAATACTGATAGACGAAATGTTAGGTCCCTAAAACCCGTTACCACACTGTAGATTTTATAAAAATAACACAGCTCAGAATGTATGGTCGATATATGCGTTGAGATCTGTATACAAAATCGCAGATACGTTTTAAAAAAATAAGTATAAAAATGCAATATATGGTACGAAATTCGTTATAAGCCAAACATTTCTCAATAACGTCTGATTCAAAACGTATGCTCAAAGTGTCGTTAGGACCGTACGGTTTCAAAATACAAGTAAATTAAAATATTCGTGACAATTCAGTAAAATTTCGGACAATTTCGATGGATAATAGCCCTTATTCCATATACGGTCAAGGGGCTAATTTTTCAAATGGCACAAAAAATGATCCACTGAATTGCCACGCAACACCAACATATAACATAACCTAAATAACGCACAAAGCCGTTCTTATTACTTTGCGCTATCTCCTGATTCGCCGTTGGCAGTAGCTTCCTCTTTCTTCTCCTCTTTTTTCTCCTCCTTTTTCTCTTCCTTCTTTTCTTCCTCTTTCTTCTCCTCGGAGTCCTTCTTTTCTTCGGAAGCCTGTTTCTTCTTGTCTTCCTTGTTCTTACCCTTCGCTGGGGTGGCCGGTTTCGGTTTCGGTTCCAAGCTCGGATCCAGGATGATCTTGCCGATGTTCTTACGATCGTGCATCTTCTGCATAGCTTCAGCCACCTGAAAAGAAACAGGTCTGAACACTCTCGAGCATCGCAAACTCAGCTTTCTTCCCTTCAGAACTAGTAGTCCCAAACGTAGGGGCTCAAATTCAGTACAGGGTGGTCAACTAAGAACGCGAGGTACTGTTCCGGGAACCTATCCGTCGCAGAGACTTGCGACAAAGTTCTTACTAGAACGGCCAAGAGAAAAGCCTGGAAAATATTCTCAAGTTTCTAAAATGGAAGCTAGTGGGAGTAACTGCAATCTTGAATCTAAAAAAGTGATGTTTCTGTGAATTCCGTTGACAAAAAAATACCTGATCTTCACAGTCGAGGATAATCGTCAAATGTTTCCGTAAAAAACACCCAGTATCTTGGAAACAGCTGAGCCGATTTTAACAAACTTGGGCTAGTTGAAAAAAGCTGTTCTTGAGCTAGAAATGTAATAATATTTCATTCCAACAGAAAGGTTAATTTTCTCAAAAAATTAAATGCATTAGTATGATTTTCTTTTATAAAAAAGTAGCTAAATCATGTCTAAACATGCTCGTGAAAACCACATCTCGATGTCTTATTCCTAACCTAAAATTTAGGGCAAAGAAAATTGTATACGGGAATCCCTTAATTTTTCTGGAATTATTTTTTATTCATCAGAATAAAATATTGAAATTATTAGAGTTTTTGGTAATAGTAATTAAATTAAGATTTTAACTGATTCATGTAACTGAAAATTTCGCCATCCAGAGATGTGTATACCTTTTAATGTGAAAAAATATGATAATGTTTGTAGGATTTCAATGGAGGTTATAACTTTTTACGTAATTAAATCCTCATTCATTGGATATTCTGCAGGATCATGCTGGCACCCCCTGCGGGTGCCCGTCGCCCTAAGTAACCATTATGGTCTAAAAAATACTCTTTTAAATTAGATAGATTACCACTGAACTTACGTCTTCTAGAGCCCATGTAGTATCGAGCACCGGCTTGACCTTGCCTTGTTCAAATAGCGAGAACACTTTTTGGATGGTCTCCCTGACGAAACCCTCTCCATTTTGTTGGAACATGAGTCGTCTCAAGTTGAAACCGGAAATGGTGCGGTTGTCGTCGAACAGTTTCAAGGGAGAGATCTTGTCGACTTGCCACCACTGAAAATAAAAAAGAGTCTTAGAAAAAAGAACGCCCAATAATAATGAATTTATTACAACAATTTTTGTACGCATGTCTCTTGGGACCGTATCGTCAATCATTGTAGGACGAATTTATGATCTCCTTGATTTTCATAGTATTTTCCCTCCTTAAGAAAGGCTGGGGTTATTTCTAGATTTCTACTGATCCGTATCAACGTCAGCGCTCTCCTATTGTGAAGATGTGTTTCCTCTTTGAAATATAGGAAATTTTAGATTTTCGTGACATATTTTTAGATATTTGTGACATAACCTCAAAATAGAAAGTTGACATTGAACAGTAGAAAACTATGAAAATCAAGGATGCCGTAATATCTTGCATCTTTCAGTAAGGAACGTGTGTGACTACTTTAGATGTCTAACCTGCCGTCAATTGTGAAGTTAGGTTATGTTTTTTTTTGACGTTTAAGGAATTTTAGACACATGAATCAAATGAATCTTTTCAAAGAAAGTAAACGCAATTTCACGAGTATAAATCACGTTTTGACGTCTACTGAAATAAACAAGTGTTCAACAAGTGACATCCTTGTATTAGTCTGTATCGTTGGCAAATAATGAATTATTTTACCTGCAAATGAACTTTTCTAAATAAGAAAGTTATTAGCAAGCACAAACTGAATCTGTAGCGTACAAAAAACAAAACAAAATACGGCTCTGTCTGATATGGGGAATTTTGAAATATTACTAGATAATCGGCTGGTGAAAAAGACAATAAGAACGTATGATCTACTTACCGCCCTAGCAGCGCTGAAGAAGCTCTTGGTTTCCCCTGTAACTACATTGCTGCTCCCGTAGAGCACATATCGCCCCATAGGCTTGAGCAGAGAATATCCCTTTTGGCATTCCTACGAAAAAAAGTTATGTCAAGTTCAATCGAAAGTTGGGAATTTTCTTTTCAGAAGCAACCGTGAAATAAGGATAAAAGTAGAATCTAAAATGCGAATAGGAACTTGGAGGAAAACAAAAATTGACAAACGAGATTAGATTACATATTCTTCCATTCCGGCGGACAATAGATGCCAGTACAAGAAATCAAGTCTGTATATACAGGGTGACTTTGAAGTTGAGTCATTAATTTTCAGATAATGATTGTTGAAGGAAGATAAACCAAAATATGTGTGTAAAAATAAAAACAAATTAAAAAAAATGTTACCTTGTTTTATAAAGTATCCTCCCGACAAGTATTTCAGTGCGGACCTGTATTTGATCGTGCGGTCTTGGAGCACCGGCATGCCGCGTAAATAAGAATCATGTCCACAAGTTCAGCATTTTCGTAAACATGTGCTATTTTTGATTTCGTTTGAGCCACGCAACAGACAACACTATTCACTCACGCGTTACCGACTGACACTGACTGTATACAACTGAATAAAATAATTGTAAAAACATCGTTCCAAATTCTTTCGCTTTTTTGTTTCCGATGCGATGAACCGATAAGGCGGATTATATCCGTTGTTGCCAAACACGAGCACATAATATTATTATTGAGACAGGGCGGTACTCAAACTTCCAAGGGCTATAACTTTGTTACTTTAATTTTACCAGAAAAATGGTAAAGGAAAAAAACATTTCTTTTGATCAGATCTACTCACTGTTAAAATAAATGACTCAACTTCGAAGTCATAATATAAAAAAAATCCTATAATTTGAAAAGAACACGACTTAGACTTTTTTATATTTTTCTGATAAATATCGTGACTTGGTTTAACCCCCGTTTCAAAAAGTGTTTTTTGTTGTTCAGAAATAGACTTTAAAAAAGATCAAAATATTGAAAAGAATATGTGTCTTGTATCTACTTACCTCGCCGCACAGGCAATCGAGGACGATATCAACACCTTCAGGCTGTTGTTTGCGAACCTCTGCTGCGTAATCAGAAGCACGATCTAGAAGCTTGTCTACAGGAGCACCCGAGGCTTGGAGAGCTTCGTGCTTGGATTTGGAGCACACGCCGAAGACTGTCACGTTGGGAACGGTCTTGGCTAGTTGAGCTACCGCTTGACCCTGCAAATAAATACAGTATGTTACCGCGAGCAATACACAGCCGTAGCATCATTAGTGGGTAAATGGCGATTAGAAAAAGAATGATGGCACAGCAGGAAATACAAGAACCTCATTTTCACCATTTTAAAACGCTAAAAATAACCTACTCCTCGACTAGGCACCGTTCGCAACAATTGGGAATTAGTGAGACCACTCCATCAATACAAAATCATTTTCACCTCAATGGATACGTAAATAAACAAAATTGCAGATTCTGGGGGGCTGAAAATCCACACCAATATCATGAACAACCTCTCCATCCCGAAAAAGTGACTGTTTGGTGCGGATTATGGGCTGGTGGCATCGTTGGACCATTCTTTGAAGAAGCTCACCCACCAGAAGATCAAAACCGTACTTCTCGCGCCATCTAGTGAGCGGCGCTTCAACTCATCAACCGTTTGCTACTGGCCAGGCGGTTACCCTACGTTATCGACCGTGCGAAAATCTACAGGTTTTTTTGTTACCAACCGGTGACGCAAGAGTTGAGGATGATGGTGCGACGAGAGACAGACATTATTCACAAAGTATTGTACCCTACATTTCTGTTATAAACCTTCGTAAAGCGAAGAACGTCTAGTTATTTCATCGGTAAACCCTCATAGTGAGTGCTTTACACGTTGGTCCTTCGAGCCGGATTTGAACCAGCGACCTACGGAAAAGGCCATTACCGTCAACGGGGAACGTTATCGCGGCATGTTAACAGACTTTTTGTGGCCACAATTGGATCGTATTGGTGCTGACGATTATTGGTTTCATCAAGACGGAGCGACGGCTCACATATCTCGCCAAACAATCGCCTTATTGCACACGAAATTTCGATGTCAGATGTCAGTTAGCCCCCCAGATCGGCCGATTTAACACCTCTTGACTATTTTCTTTGGGGATTTTTGAAAGGAAAAGTGTATATGCGAATGGTCCCTGGACAATTCAAGACCTATATTCGGACTGAAATTGCGACCATAGACCCGATTATTCTGGGAAAAGTCATTGAAAATTTTGATGTTGGCCTGTAAACGAAGCCGCGGTGGTCACATGACTGATGTTATTTTTCATACATAAATGGTATGAACCAAACTTCATTTATCAATAAAAAAATTTCACCTCGTAAAAAGCGTGTTGATTTTTCAAATAGAAAATAAAAGTAATAGATGACGCACCCTGTACAAACCCACGAAACCGTACATCGGCAAAATGGGCAAAAAAGGCCCTTCTAAAAATCAACAGAAATATAGGGTGTTCCACTTGAAAAAATATAAGCCTATATTGCCACTAATTTATGAGACATAGCTGAAAATAATTTTAGGTTGTAGCCCATTTATATTTAACTTTTTTTTGCAACTCTAATAGTGACGCACTATTAGGACACCCTGTATATAAGCTAAGGACATCATATATGTAACAATCTAAATTAAATTTAAGACGTATACTTATTGGAAACAATTGGTTTTGTCTACTTTTATTATACAGGGTTGTCCGATAGGGACGCAGGAAAGTAAACGTCAATTTGACATAGACGCCATCTTTGTTTTCTGTCACCGACATGTCATTTTGTTAGTTGAATGTTTACCATTGATCGCTATGGAGTCGTATTCGATTGAAGACCGCATTAAAGTTATTCAAGAGCACTACAAAAATGGTGCAAAAATAAAAAACACGTTTCGCGCGCTTCGTGAACATTTCGGTCGCAACAACCGCCCAAACGAAACAACCATCGGTCGTCTGGTGCGTAAATTCGAGGCAACAGGTTCTGTGGCAAATCTGCCAGGCTCTGGCCGGCCAAGGAGCGTTCGCACACCGGAAAATATTGCTGTTGTGAAGGAGAGTGTGAGAGACGATCCGAAACAATCAACAACGCGTCGATCCCAAGAATTGGGCATTTCGAGAACCAGTTTGCTCCGCATTCTCCACAAGGATTTGAATGTACACGCCTACAAGATCCAATTGACGCAAGAGCTGCGTCGGGCCGACCATTTTTCGCGCCGAACGTTCTCAGATTGGCTCCTTGAACACCGCCAAATTGATGCCAATTTTTCATCAAAAATCATGTTCAGCGATGAAGCGCATTTCACTTTGAATGGGACGGTAAACAAGCAAAACTGGCGCATCTGGGCGAACGAAAATCCCCGTGAGTATCAAGAGCAGCCGATGCATCCTCAAAAAGTGACTGTGTGGTGTGCATTGTGTCAAAAGGCATCATCGGACCTTACTTTTTCGAAAAGACGATACTTCTGGAACTACCCTCGTATCTATCACGACTCAATTTTCCATTTTGATCGATACCGCCAATGGGTCGAAGTTTTCCAACTTTCCAGGATCTCAAGTTTGCTGGAAGTAACAGCCGCTAATTCCATGAATTGAACGTGAATTAATTAACGAGTTTACCTGTGAGGTAAAATCAAGTCAAGTGCACTCTCTCAAGTTCATCAACTTTTTGAACTGAGTTCGCCTTCGCATGTTTACCGTTCGAGATCGAAAAGCTATAAGGCTTGAGCAACTCTTACTACCGGGAAAGTTGAGTATTTTTTTTTTTTGATGGAAAAAGTCGCGTAAATCTGCTCAAAAAAATAAGGCAACATGAAAAAACTCAAAATTTTTGTGGTGATTTGTGACAGGCTGTATTTCGGTGAACAAGCATCGTATCTAGTCTCTAAATAAAGCATTTTCATACTCAATATTTCGTTTTCATTTTTTTGCAGATAAATTTTAAAAGCTTGATTCAAATGTACGGGGGTTGTTTCAAAAATAAGGTTCCCACATTTTTTCAAGCACAAGGAATTATTTATTTGTAAAAACGAATTCAAGATTGGAAACGTTGATCTTTCAGCTATTCTTTCTCCATAGTCGCCATTTCTTTCTATGAATTTTCAGATTAAAATTGTTTGGAAAACTTTTTCCTGTTTAGTTCACGGGCTGGAAAATTTTTCTCTGTCACGATTGTTATTTCAATAAAAAGACGAAACGGTAACTTTTCACATTGATTAGCGAGTTTTTTTTTTTAGAAATATTTATAGGCAACGTTAGACCCTCTTTATTTACAATTCGTATGACGTCACATCATGGCCGATGTGTTTTCAGCGAAGTACGCATTCCTACAGTATATTCAGATAAGAGATAGACTGGATGTAAACAAAAGGTTCGGGTGATTTTCACGCTAACGCCGCCGTCTCGACGTAAAACAGGAGCCCTCATTGGTCAATTCGCAAGTAAATGCCTATGCCGAGCGGCAGAGCAGTCGTATCAAGGCAGAGTCACATTCAGGTTCAGACGTGTTACGTATGTCGTGTGCATCATTGCAATTTGATATTTCTTTGGACGTTTTCGTTTGTTATCTTATTAAGTTGTTGAGTTTGTCGTTGTTATTGTTCTTGTTATCAACTGCTTGCGCAAAATGCCCAGTAGTACAGATACTGCCGATGAAGTTGTAAACTCCTGTAGTCCACCTAGGAAACGCTCTAAAAAAAGACACCTGAGTGCAGAAATGTAAGAGGTCATTTTGAATATATATAAGATCGAGCGCGAGGAGAACGAGGCATCAACCATCAAAGAAATTGTTGTGAAGGTTTCTCACAAAGTTGGGGTGTGTCGCGCATCAGTGTTTAATGTGTTAAGACAATACAAAAAAAAATCACACCTTTTCTGACCCACTGACCAGTAAACATCGCAAAAGTATTGTTAAATCATTGGATGAAGCTGATAAGCATGCGATTAGGAGGAAAGTGCATGAATTCTTCTTTAGGAATGAAATACCTACTATAGATAAAGTACTGCAGGAGGTAAATGGAGATACAACGTTGCCAAATTTCAAACGATCAACTTTCCATGCGTTACTGAAGCATTTAAATTTCAAATGGAAAAAACGGGGTCGTAATAGTTTACTACTGGATAGAGAAGAAATTGTGCTATGGAGGAGGGATTATTTAACAAAAATTGGGGAATATAGAAATCAAAACAGGAAGATTTATTACCTTGATGAAACGTGGGTAAACGCAGGACACACTACAAGTAAAGTATGGGTTGATGATTCTGTAACTTCATCCAGGAGGGCCTTTCTAGATGGACTGTCCACCAGATTAAAAAATCCAGCAGGTTAATACGAGTAATAGACAACAATCGGATGTTTTTCAAACCTTGGGAACAAGGTTCTAAACATTAATTCCAGGGGGCAGATAAAACATATTACAAGTAACAAAACTTTTATAACTTTCGATAAAATGCGTGGATGTTTTATTGTCATTTTCATTTGTTAGAACTTTTTTAAGCCATGTTTTTATGTTTTCGATATTTCAATAATTTTTTAATATAATCTTAAAATATGTCGAATATTATAAACTTAAAAAAAGTGACTAAGTTTTATATTGTGTACCGTTCCTAATATTTCTAATCATTTTAATTCATACTTTAAGCTTTTTATAAAGGTATAATTTGTTAATATTAATATTTGCGCGTATTTCAGGTTCCTGATCATTCATTTTTTAAAGGTTTATAACTTTAAATTAAATTGTGAAGTGCTGAGTAATCATACGACGTTCAATATTCTTTCTTTCAATATGACTAAATAATCCCAATTATAACAATCTGATACTCATGTCTCAATGTTTTTTCGCTGAATCTGATGAAAACATTTGAAAAAGGTTCGCTTATTGAAATAAATCTACACCAGTTAGTACTTCGATTTCCAGGTAAAGGGAAAAGGCTCATTATCTGCCATATTGGCAGTGAGGATGGATTTGTTGTTGACGGTCTGTGGTGCTTTGAGTCTAAGAAAACTGGAGATTACCACGAGGAAATGAATGGCGATTCGTTTGAACAGTGGTTTTCAAAAATTTTACCGAACTTAGAGGAAAACGCAGTAATTGTGTTGGATAATGCGCCTTATCATTCTCGAAGAATGGAGAAGGTCCCAACAACGGCTTCAAGGAAAGTTGATGTTCAAAATTGGCTCCGCTCGAAAAATATCAACT